TGTCGACCAAAAATTAACAAATACTACATAAAATATGTATACTTACAGTTACATTCAGGATAAGCGTAGTAACCGTTTTTACAACGGTCGCAATGTGGACCATCGAATCGTGGATTACATATACATTGGCCGGTTAGCAGATCGCAAACTCCATTTAGCGAACCGGTTGGATCACATTCACATGGCAAACATTCAGGTCCATAAAAGCCATCGGCGCATCTTTCACAATAGTTACCGGCAAAGTTTGGTTTGCATGGACATTTGCCATTTGATGCTTCACAGTGATATTGATCTGTGCCGATAATATTACATTCGCATGGTCGACAATTTGGATAACCAAAATGACCGAAAGAGCATGATTTACAATCGGGTTCTTGGAATTCTGGACGACATTCACAGCGTCCTGTGAATTCTTCACAGTTACCAGTTGAATATGAAGTATCGCAGTTACAAACTTTAAATAGAAATTCAATTTTTTTTAAATGTCTTGCTCAATAATCAATTGTTAAAATATTATAATAAAAATTTATATGAATCTTACATTGGCACACATCGGTTTCATTCCATTGTTTTTCGTATGGTCGATAGAATTTCGGTTGACATTTGTTACAATTGATGCCTTCGGTATTATGTTGACAATCTTTGCAAACACCGCCACCTTCATATTTACCATGAATGTCCAACGACAATCCCTGTTTATCAACCTCTTCATCATAAACACAATTGTTCGAATGACCATGACAATTACATGCTGAAATTGAAAGAAACAACCGAATTATCATCACGGTTACCAAAAACTCAATTCAAACAAAAAAAATGATTTTTAATAGTCTTACGTTCGCATCGGAATGGGCTTCCTTTGGCATTTTGTCGCCATTTCTTCTGCTCATAGCCCGCTTCACATTCGTTACAATGTATACCGGCAGTGTGATGACGGCACTTACAAGCCAATATTCTTGTTGAACTTAATGGATCCAAAACATCACAAGTGTCAGCGTGACCATTGCAACGACACCGTCCACCAATCGAAATATCTTTGATGGAATAGAAATACTGCAAAAAAAGCCAAATCATGTCAATCATTTCGATTCTTATTGTTTTTCTTCAAACAAACATGAAAACGGTACTTACACGTCGTGTAACGGTTGGATCTTGTCGTGCCACCGACATCAAATGTCCCAACAAATTTTTGGTACGATAGAAACGGAAACGAACATTTGTGGCACGTGTCCATTCTTGTAATGCCATTGAATTAAAGTAATTATTTGCTGATGGTCGATTATTCAATAGCATCACAGGAATTTCACCGTCCTCTAATGGTACGATTTTCGAGTATTCGGTTGTACAAATGACATCGTCATCTTTTGTGATTGGCTTTAGACTTTCGCGGCCGAAGAATGTTTCACAATCGGCTGGTGTGTCGGAGAAATGTTGCCATGGTGTCCATGTTTTACCATAATCCGATGATTTTTCTAAACTCCATAAGCCCGGACGTGGCGAATTACCCATTCGAATAAACAAATAGGCGACATGAAATTCCTATTGAAATTAAAATAGTACTCATTGTTATACAATTTCATTTTTTTTTTGCGTTGATATGAAATCGTGCCCATTTATTGAATGAAATCACATTGATTTTTAACACGACGAAAAAAAAAACAGTTTGTTCAACTTTCAGGAATAGCGATGTGTGCGCATCGAAAACAAAATATCGCTCCAAAACCTTATCAATATTACAAAACATCCGTTCATTCTATATTCCTGTGCGACATTTATTACATACATTCTTCTTTGATTCTCGTTTGAACGAAAGATGAACTAAGCGGATTTCAAAAAAAATGCGATATGACGGTTAAATTTTTTTTCGTCTCATAAAATCAATCGTAAGCAAAAACGTGGAGCGTTTTTTTTGTTCAGAAATCCGAGTACAAACAATGTTTTCATTCAATACGCTACGAAACAATATGGGAAAGCATATTCTTTGATAGTTTTTTTTAGTCGACTGTCCCGATGAACAGTGACTTTTGTATCAGCAAATATGTAAAAATAACTAAAGCTATGTACTCTCGATTGTGAGTCTTTTTAAGCAGTTTAAAATGAAATATGAACATCCGTATGTAACGAAAAGTTGATAAGTGTTGCTATCGCAAGTCAAGTCATGTGATAAAGAATATTTTTCTACAAAAGACAGTTCATAAGAAAGAACTTTGAAATTATCAATTAAAATGTTAGAGTTGGTTGCTAGAAGACTCCAAAAATGTCACAAAAAAATGACTGTTTTACTCCTTTTCTATTCGTTCTAACAAATTTTGTCGAAGCACAAAAAACATATTATTCAAATTTTGTGCTGTTTCCTCAAGCTGGTTAAAAGAAAATGATCGTTTGAACGTAAAGCAAACAAATTCTGGTTGAGTAAAACGAAGCGATAAGCACAAACAAATATCAAAATATCAAACGAATATGTTTTTAAGAACGTTTATGTCGAATAAAAAAAGAATCGTTTGACTGTGCACAATTTTCGGTGCGTGCCTGTAAGAGCTACAATGCGCATTTGTTGAACACATGTTTCATATATTTAGTTTCTTGAAAATTGTATTTTATGACTGCCAGATCATGCATTTCAGTCACAGAATTAACATTTAAATACCGCATACATGAAATATTTAGAACCGGCGTAGTGCAGTAAAATGGATCTTAAATTAATATGACGTAATATCTATATGCTGCCGATGTATATATTTTTAAATAGAATATGGAAGAGAAACTCATTGAAACGATGCTGACTGTAAACATCGGCATGAGAAAACACTTCAAAATGGATTTCAATTAGAAATGGAGCGAAATATATTCAAAATGCGATATTACTTACTTGACCGAAATCGATTGTAAGATTGACTTCATTGTATTTCATACCACGTGAAAGTGGCGGAGACTGCCACCAATTTGATGTTCCATCGATGGCATATTCAGCAGGATGAGCACGATCAGGACGATTGGGATCACAATAATCACAAACCTAATTAAAATAAACATAAAACAAATAATGAATCGTCTTCGAATGAAAACACTCGTTAAATATTTAACTAAATCACATTCTTTTAACGAACTTTCTTATATCATTTTGAATTTGAAATGATCTTCTCTATTTTAAGGCAATTTACAATTTCAAATTCATAAATATCAAAATCATTATTTACGATTAAAAAAAACTAAAATAAAATTCCTTACTTGTCCTTGGATCACCCGATAATCATGTAGATTGTTGTCATGTTCCGTATTAGCTCCAACCAATTTACAGTATAATTCAGGACCATCGCTTCCAACACCACAAGTGGCTGTGGCAGTGATGTGTCTTCCTTCAGCCAAATTAAAGTATGGTGGTGTTAATTCAGCCTGAACATTTGCAATGTTCAACACAAGCACTGACACAATCACCGCAGCTAAATATTCCGAAGAATATTTAGTGGGATTCATGTTTGTATTTTTCCAACACTTCAATGCACCAAATTCTTCAATTTTTCAGTCGTTTTAGACTGTATGCACAATATTTTAAAGTCCTGTAAGGAATAATGCAAAAAAAAATGTAGATTTTCACTTCGTTTATGGTATTTGAGCACAAAAATTCCAAACATAAAGTTATAATGCTAGTGATCATATGCAATGCATAGCAATAAATGAAACTCTAATTGAATGCGCTTACTTTGTATTTCAAATAATTCTCTGTCGATGTCTTCTTCTTTAAAAAAAAAAAAACAGTTGAATTTTTGTTTTTGCTCTATTCCTTATTTTCTCCTTCACATATGTGAACACTTGCGCACACACATCGCATGGACCATCCGTTTAGGACGATCATCAACTTGTAACTAATTCATAAAATCAGTTTGATCACGTTGTTCATACATTGTTCGTTGGCGAAACGATAGAGCTAGACATGTTGTTGTTGCTGCTGCTGTTGTTGTAATTCTTCACGTTTTCTTTCTCATCTCTCTTCGGGATTATGTTTCCCGCAATGCATATATACTCACATATTCGTCTTTATTTTGACGATTTAAACAGTGCTCTTCTTTTTATTCTTCGGTTATTTCGTGTGTATTTGTCCCTATATACAACATTCGTACATTTTTAATTGCTATATGTGAGTTTATGTTTTTCGTTCCGAAATAGGATATTGGAAATCTGTTTTTAACTTTAGTAACATATATGAGTAGCATTTTTTTGTATATATATTTAAAAATGCACACATACAAACACATATGCATGTATGTTTTGAGTATGTCAATATGATGAAGAAATGCATGCACATTGTAGAACGCAGAATGAGGATATCCAGTATGTTTTCTATTTTAGAGATTATAAAAAAAAGAAAAAGAAAACACTCAGAGATAACGTTGTGGGGTCTCGCACAACATATTCGGCTTAAAATGTATTTTGGTTCAATTTTATTTGGAATGTGACGGCTTTAATCATATAAAAAAGTGCTATTGATCATTCAAACGATCATTCTAATATGATGCATATCTTAGCAATTGTTATTCAATATTTTAAAAAATGAGGCATTGCAGACTTTAATAAAATTTGTTAAAAAAGATTTGAAAAAAGTTTATTTTCCAGAGAAAAAAAATGTCTTGCATATTTTGAATATTTTTTTTATTTTGAAATGCTAGTCGTTTTAATGTAAAATAAAATACTAATTTTTATTTAAATTTTTAACACGACAACAGCTGAGATATTTTAACATTTTTTTCCCATAAAGCAAGTAATGAATTTAGTTTTGGGGAGTAGCTCACACAAATTGTCCCAATATATATACATCAACATTATTGACATAAGAAGAGGTTCGATTTTTTTTTGATGGTTCATCGCAGCCAATGCATTGTTATTATGTATTAGCAGTGTGCATGTGGTGCATCAGAAACTGTTTCGAATTTTGAACAAAACTTGACATAACGAAGGACAGCACACGCATCATTCACAGCAAACTTCATTCGATTCGTGAACATATGTCATGCAAATGTGATTGAAAAAGAAACGACAAACAAATCATCAACTTCAATCATTGAATGTGAAATTAAAAAAATTAAAATCGAGCCGGTTTAATTTTATTTTGTTGTTACTCAATTTAAATGTGAATTAAATCATGTCATTGTGTAAATTTGGATCATCATTGTCGCGAGTATGTGTATCTCGCAGTCTACTTTCAACTGACAGGCAATTCATGTTGAACAATGTTCGTGGATTTCTTCGAAATAAAAATCAGGTTGAGATTCCAAAATCGAGACAATATGTGAAAGCACTGTTGAACGGAGTTGGTTGTGGTCTTGTGGTTGGCATTGGCATTGCTGTATATGATTCATACAAAAGTAAAGATGTTCATTTGGTGCATGAGCGAAGCGAAATGTATGTAATCGATGAATTACCAAAGGTGAAAATCATACGGAAAATTGTAAATCCCAAGGACAACCATAATCTCGATTTAGTACTATTTCAATTCCAAACATGTCCGTTCTGCAGTAAAGTACGAACATTTTTGGATGCAAATCAATTTTCTTATTCAGTGGTCGAGGTAATTTTCGTTTTATTTTTGTTGGGTTATGAAATAAAATGATAACAATCGATTTTTGTTGACAGGTTGATGCTGTTTTACGGCAAGACATTAAATGGTCACCATATAAAAAAGTGCCAATGTTATTGGCACGCACTAAAGATGGAAAATACGTTCAATTGACCGATTCAAGTATGATAGTTTCTGTATTATCGAGCTTTTTAATTGATCCAACATTGGATATCAAAGATTTGGCTAAATTCTATCCAAGCATTTCCTATATGAATGATGATGGCAAAAAGATTCACGACATTCTCAACAAATACCACCTAATCTACGGCGAAAAATTACCAAAAAATAAAAGCAAAGATGATTTGGAGTAAGTTTAAATTATTATCAGAAATTAACAAGATTATTTGACGTTTTAATCACACCATTATTCGTTTTTAGTATGGAGCGAAAATGGCGAGAATGGACCGATAAACATTTTATTCATTTGATTTCACCAAATGTATACCGAACTAAAGAAGAGGCTCTCGAAACATTTGAATGGTTTGCAGAAACGTCTGGTTGGAATGAATATTTTCCACGATGGGAGCGCAATTTAATGGTTTATGTTGGTGCAACGGCCATGTATTTTATTAGTAAGCGATTGAAAAAACGCCACAATTTAAATGAAGATGTTCGCAAAGACATTTATGCAGCATGTAATAGTTGGACAAATGAATTGGCTAAGCGGAAATCAAAGTTTTTAGGCGGTGAAAAACCAAATTTGGCCGATATATCATTTTATGGTGCACTAGCATGCATGGAAGGAACGAGTGCATTTTCGGATATGCTCAAGAATACAATGATCGAACCGTGGTTCCAAGCAATCAAAAAATATGTTACCACAAACAAAGGCGAAACTATTAATCTATTGCAAGCTCATTAGGATTTAGAATAAACAAAAAAAATTGTAGCTTGTTTAAATAAAAACAAAATGTTGAATTTCAAATAAAAGAAAAATTTCAAATTTTAATGTAGCGCCTCTATGCAACAAAATAAATATGGTACTCACGTATTACATTTTAATGAACTGTCATTTACTTACTAGTTCACGCGTGATTGTTTCGAACCAACTTCACACTTGTGCACAATGAGATGAAATTTTGTGTTGTCATTCTAACAACATTCGAGTGGTGAAACATACGAGGTTTACCAATTTATAGCCGTTCAATTTCAACAGGGTTTCTATTTAAATTACCAATTAGAAAAAATGGCATCATCACTGCAATCGAAGTTCCGTGATTTTCCCGAGTATCAAGTGGCCGGTGCAAAAGAAGTCAATTTCAATCCATATGAATCGAACGGCGGGTAAGATAACCCCTTCTAAGTTAATCTATGCTCAAAATTTCATTTACATGATGTTTCATTTTCTTCATTTTTTCGATTTATTTCTTTTTTCATAGATCGGTGGTTGCTATCTCAGGCAAGGATTTCGTTGTCGTTGGTGCTGATACACGTCTGAGCTCTGGATATTCCATTCATACGCGAGATCAAAATAAATTATTCGGCTTGTCATCGCAAACGGTATTAGCATCAACTACCAAATCTCAATTTAAAGCAATTGCTGGACATTAATGCTGTTGTGGCTATTGCTTTGCATTTTTTTCATTATATGTTTCCGATTACTTATCGATTATTTTAAATTTTATTCTTTTCTTTTGTGAATCTCCCCTTAGGTATTAGCATCAACTGGATGCTGGTGTGATACACTTTCGTTGACCGCATTGGTTCGTTCTCGCATGCAAATGTATGAGCATACGCATAACAAAACCATGTCAACCACGGCTGTTGCTCAAATGCTCTCGATTTTGATGTACAATCGCCGTTTCTTTCCATACTATGTGTCAAATGTGTTGGCCGGCATTGATGAAAATGGTGAAGGTGTTGTTTTTAGCTACGATCCAATTGGACATTGTGAACGTACCAAATATCGTGCCGGCGGATCGGCCGGTGCATTGTTGCAACCTGTATTGGACAATCAAATCGGTTTGAAAAACCAAACAAACCCAAGCACCGAACCGCTCACCAAAGAACGAGCCATCGCAATCATCAAGGATACATTCATTTCAGCAACGGAACGTGATATTTACACTGGTGACTCGGTCATTATAAATGTCATTACTAAAGACGGCGTTGTCGAAGAAAAGATGGAACTGCGTAAGGATTAAATTCAGCGTGCACTTCAGTTTTTTTTTTGCATAAGTTTTTTTTCTACAAATAATCTTCAATCTCAATTATGAGTGACATACACACACATCTTGGATCAGATCGATGTTCATAGCTTAAACGACAAACGAACACCTTATACAAGAAACACACACCGTGTATTATTGATAAATAAATAAAAAAAAAGAAAGAAATAAAAACACACACCACATACTTTTTTTATTTGTAAAAAAAGAACAAACAAACTTTATTTTTCAATGCAAAATTGATTTACCATAAGATGAAGATTAATTTTACCACAAATGAATCGTAAGGTGAGATTTTTTATTGTTTGCATCAGCAACCGCTTTAAACGGAAAACAAATATCAATTTTATTCTCTCTTTTTTGTTTCATCTTTTATAATAAAGATCAAATGAAATTAATTCGCAATACATTCTTAACAAATATTGACATAATCCGGTTTCATTTTGAACATTTTGAGATGTGAACGTGACATAAAATTAAAAAAAAAGAAGATGATCAAAATTCATATAGGTATAATTGGTTTATCAGTTAAAATACAATGATTGTTAAAAATGACATTTCAAATTGTGTGTGTTCATTCTGTTTTCTCAAGTGAACAAAAATGCGCAATAAATGTGTGTGTCTGTTTAGTTGGTTTTCATTTCTTAACATTTCTCCTTCGATTGTGAATTTATTTCGATACTTCTTCTTTTTTCTCATTAAATTTCTATGAAAGATATATGAAATGAATATGCCTCCCAGTGCCTCACTTCTTTGGACCAGGAGGCAGCAATATCTGTCCACGATCTTTTCCACGCAATTTTAGCCCAATTATGCGTTCAATTTTTCCCAAAATAACGTTGTTCGGTATGCCACGTCCAGCTTCGTAATCGGTTATAATTTGTGGTTTCTCGCAAATTTTCTAGTTTTTTTTTTTTTTTTGAAATGATAAACGAACAAAACAAAGGCGATATCAATGACAATTCGTGAATCATTTTCATAAGAATATTAAATTTATAGGAGAAAACAACGGAAATAAATCCGAACGTAAAACTGTGATAACAAATGTGCGTAAACACTTACCGCAGCCAATTCGGATTGCTTAAGACCCTTGGCTTTGCGACCTTCTTGGATGATTTTTCCAACCTCCAATGGGATTTTATCATGTTTTAATTCTTCAGTCTCACGATCGAGTTTAGCAGTATTTTTGGTAATCACATGTTGCTTATTCGTTCCAGCACCATCTGGTTGATGAAAAGAAACAATTGAAATGTTTTCGGAATTACTTCGTTTCGTTTCGATACACAAATAATGTATTTTGGAGTTGTGATTGTCATCAAATATGTTTATGATAATTACATTTTTGCGTTGTGTCGATATTTAATCCTTGTCGTCGGGCCTGAAATCAAATATTCACACACACATTTAAGAACAAATGACAAAATCGAAAGATTTCTTTTTTTTTGGTTGTTGTTGTTGTTGTTGTTGGTTTATTCATCGAAACGAATGTTCTAGCAAAATGAAACGACAACATTAAACAAAAAAAATATATTTATTCTAATTACTTGATTTATGGCTCCTTCAGTTTTCATAGCAGATGCTTTTGGTTGTCGCTTACGCAACACAGTCACCGAATCCCAATCCGACATATTTTCCAACTAATTGTTTAAACTTTTTTCAATAAAATACAAAAAAATGTTGCTCAAAATTCTTTTTTCCCTTAAATGCAATGTACGTCGCTAAAATGATGAAATATTAGAAAAAGATTGTTGTTCCGTTCATTCCACTCTGTATGTGATGAAAGAATATACGAATGTGCGCACGTAGAAAAATCTATAGGTGCACATGTATTTGTGCAGATTCGGTAAATATTGGCGTATCACACAAAAAGCATTTTCACACGAAACATGGAAGACATATCGTGTGAACCGGACATAATTGGTAAAATATAAATTGATTTCTAAGGTCACTTGTTCGATTTGTGGCAGCATTCATTTTTAATGATGATTTTATGCATACTTATTGGTTCTGTTTTTTTTTTTTTTTTGGTAATTTCACCATGAACGAGTGCAGACGATTTTTCCACGTTTATTTTTGAATCATAGGTTTTATTCAAAACAACTTCACATACATCAACTGTTGTGTGTTTTATCTGCTTGTGTGCATGTGTTAGTGTGAAGGTGTTTCGAAATACGAAATGCGAAATACGAAAATCAATATTGGCCATCGAAAGAGACGGATTTGGAATGAAATCACGCATTAGCATGACATATGGGCCCGCACCTAATCACCGAATTCACGTCGCGCTTTGCATGTATAAGTAAGAGTGGCATATATCAGACGGGGCAGTGAACCACTACATTCAACCTATAGATTGTATAGTTTATTTTGCACAAGTATTCATTCTTCCGACAGTATATTGTCCACTTCATTTTTGTTTGGTATTAAACAAAATGGTTTTTATTTCCATTTAATATTGATCTATATGTGGAATTCGCATAACAAAATACATTTTTCATATACTTTCACTTAATTAACGTAATAATGTTTGGCTAAAATAAAGTGGTGACTATTTTATGGTTTAATTGAATTTTAATTTTTTTCTCGTTTCTCTCAATCTCTCGATTGAAACGCCAAGCATTTGAATATCCCTATATATATATGTGTGTGGATATCTCTATATATTTTAAATGATTATAATAATATTCGACATCGTCGTTGAGAGAGAGTAAATACCTGAGAGTGCGGTGTGACTGGTTTGCATTTGCAATTGCATTTTGTAAAGTGAGAAATAACAGGAGAAATGATACAATTGAATTCAACATTTGAATGCATCACTAAGATTCGCAGATAACAGCTGTAGGATAAGCAATTCAACAGCAAATGCATTTTATGAGCTGTGCATGAAAATTCATAATATCGTTTTCATGTTTTTTTTTTATCGAAGCAAACTAATAAGCAAGCAACTAAGAAAGATAGAAAGAAAACCAAAATCGAAATGCACAAATTGCTGTGAGAATGTGTTATCGCTTGAAATGAAAGTTAAACAATTATTTTCCAAGTATGAATCTGTCGAATCGAATATCCTAATGCAACAACAAATAAAAAGAATAAAAGAAACGAAAGAGAGGAAAAAAAATCATTGAATTTGTGACGTATAGTCTGCATATGATTACGTGATTACTTACAAGTGAATTCTTATCGTATGTTTGTGATGTGTGTGATGTAAAGTGAATGAAAAACTTAAGTATGAATAATGCGACAACAATAGTGAAACAAAGCAGCACCACACCAATTTACCTCTGATATTTTTGAATCTACGGATATATCGTTTAATTTGGTTTTTCCTTTTTCTTTCAACACACAGACAAACACAAAAAACGATTTAAAAAAATTGAACGAAGACCAATTAGATTTCAATTCCAAACGAATTTCTCCTTGTAGTTGCTCGATGAATTTCGAATGCAAATTTAGTGCTAGTCAATTGAAGTGATTTGAAATGAATTTATGGTGGTATTTTTATTTCAGTGCATTAAATATCGAATGAATGCCGCAAAACAGCCCAAAAATGATAATTATAAGGATTGACCGTGGGTGAATATAAATGGCGTCTTGAAACCGCATACACACTTTTTTCTCATTAAAATACAACAAAAATCGAATAAAAACATAAAACTGAATAAAGAGACAAAAACTAAAAGTCCAGACGAATAAGGGAAACGACATAGAAGCGAGAGAAAGGGAACAAGAAAATAATAATAAAAAAACACTAAAATTACAAGAGGCATTGTTTTACGTGCATCAAACTTAAACACGGCTATGGGAGCACAACAAGTTAAAGAAGGAAGAGGTGCAAGTAGTTGCAATCCCATTAATACTGGACTAAATGCAAACATTGGCGCAAATAATACCAATTTGTCGGTGGCGAATTGCTCAGCAACGAACAATTCGGTGTCGGGTAGTGGTGGCACGTTTGGAGCTGGTTCTTCGTTGCGTGCAAGTCGCATCAACAAATCAAGAGTACCAAAGGAGTCAAAGAATACCGTTTTAAATGTATTCACAGAACATAATGGTAAGTAAATCTAGGTCTTTCTTCAATCCAAATCTATTGGATACTATTATAAAACTGCGTGCATGCGTACATGTATGTGTATTTAAATTCAACAATTGAGAAAAAAAATTCATTTCATCCACAGAAGCGCTACTACAACTACGTCCATTACCGCATATTCCAAAATCTCAACTACAAACACGTGATATTGATCTACAATCCGATGGAGTTTTGTCAAATATATCGAATTCAGGCACGGCCACCTTAAGTCATAGTCAACAAAATCTTGGTTTTGAGGTGGCAAATCGTTGGACATCGAAAGAGAATTTATTAGCTCCGGGGCCTGAAGAAGATGATCCACAATTATTTGTTGCTCTGTATGATTTTACAGCCGGTGGTGAAAATCAGCTAAGCCTTAGGAAAGGTGAACAAGTGCGCATACTGTCTTATAATAAATCTGGTGAATGGTGCGAAGCACACACCGATTCCGGTTTAGTTGGTTGGGTGCCATCGAACTATGTAACGCCAGTGAATTCATTGGAAAAACATTCATGGTATCATGGACCAATTTCACGAAATGCGGCCGAATATTTGCTTAGCTCTGGTATTAATGGCAGCTTTTTGGTTAGAGAAAGTGAAAGTTCACCGGGTCAACGCAGCATTAGCTTAAGGTATTTTATCTTTTTTTATCTTTATAAATTATTATGTCAGAAAAATTGATTCGATTCACTTTTTTTTTTAGATTTGAAGGACGTGTCTATCACTATAGAATATCGGAGGATACAGATGGAAAAGTGTATGTCACTGTCGAAGCAAAGTTCAATACATTAGCCGAACTAGTGCATCATCATAGTGTATTACATGAGGGTCATGGTTTAATTACACCATTATTGTATCCAGCACCAAAGCAAAATAAACCGACTGTATTCCCGTTGAGTCCAGAACCGGACGAATGGGAAATTTGCCGAACGGATATTGTAATGAAGCATAAATTAGGTGGCGGTCAATATGGTGAGGTTTACGAAGCAATTTGGAAACGATATGGCAACACTGTTGCTGTAAAAACACTCAAAGAAGATACAATGGCACTGAAAGACTTCCTTGAGGAGGCTGCCATCATGAAGGAAATGAAACATCCAAATTTAGTACAACTTATTGGGGTTTGCACCAGGTGGGGTTAATAACATTTTCACTTTAAATCCAAGATCCATGGCATAAACCAGAACACCATTCAATTTAAAAACGAAATCGTTTCTCTTTTTTTTTTGTTCTTTGTAGGGAACCACCTTTTTATATTATAACCGAATTTATGAGTCATGGAAATTTGCTGGATTTTCTGCGTTCAGCTGGTCGTGATACACTTGACGCGGTAGCACTTTTGTATATGGCAACTCAAATTGCCTCAGGCATGAGCTATCTTGAGAGTCGTAACTACATTCATCGTGATTTAGCAGCTCGAAATTGCCTAGTTGGCGAAAATAATTTAGTTAAAGTAGCCGATTTTGGATTGGCTCGTCTCATGCGCGTAATTATCTCAATATAAACAATTTGAAAAAAAAAAGAGAAGAAGATGAAATTTATATCGATCATTCAATTTTAATTTTATATACACAGGATGATACATACACTGCACATGCTGGTGCCAAATTTCCAATCAAATGGACAGCACCAGAGGGATTGGCATACAATAAGTTCAGTACAAAATCCGATGTATGGGCTTTTGGTGTTCTTTTATGGGAAATAGCTACTTATGGAATGTCACCGTATCCGGGCATTGATTTGACTGATGTGTTTCATAAATTGGAAAGTGGCTATCGCATGGAACGGCCAAATGGTTGTCCGCCTGAAGTATACGATTTGATGAGACAATGCTGGCATTGGCAGGCACAAGATCGTCCAACATTCAAAAATATTCACCATATGCTTGAGCATATGTTTCAGGTTTGTGATAGATCAACATTATCAAATTAAATATGGTATTCAATGAAAAATTGTACTGATTTTGTGTTCGATCCAATTCGAATAGGAATCTTCAATAACTGAAGCAGTTGAAAAACAATTACAAGGAAATTCGCATACAAACTCAACACCATTGATGGGTAAAAAAGCTCAAATGAGCGCACATTCCGAAAATAAGACATCATCAGGTAAACACAAAAATTGACATAAATACGAGTGAATTAAATGTTCAGATCAAGATCGAATTAACTGTGATCGCTTTTTGTTTGTTAAAATATTTTAATTAAGAACCAGGATCAGCCTCATCAAAATTATCAACATTCTCCACTGGTGGCAGTAAGGTTAATGTGCAAATGAGACGAACAACGAACAAGAAAGGTAAAACTGCACCAGCTCCACCAAAACGTACCAGGTAATCTATTCATTTTCATTATGTACTCTGTTTGAATCCCATAGAGAAATGTTCATTTTTATCCATAGTTTGTTATCAACGAACCGTGATTCAACATATCGTGACGATGATCCAAAATCGATTGACGACTTCAATTCCAATGGTACACATAAAATTGAGAAATCTTCTTCTTGCAGTAGTTTTTTATTTGATGTATTATTCAGAGGTATAGTCGGTTTTCATTTCAATATCGGTTTGTCGTGCATGTGCGCTAACAATACAGATGATCCAAAACAGCTGATTCAATTGAGTTTTCTCGTCAAGTGTCAATTTTATTGATTGAATTGAAGTTTATGTTTTGACATGAACATTACTTATGCAATATATTTTATATTTGCAAACATAAGAAAAAACTGAAGCGAACACTTGTGCTGTATCAATCTGTGAGTGTTTGACAACATTTAATACACGGTGCATCGCACATAACCAAGCGTGATCAACTAATCAAAAACTTTGTTAGAGCCGAAATATTTCCAATGACTAAATTACCAATCTTAATTGGTCTAAATGTCATCGTTGTTCGGCCACAATCAATTTTAATTTAATTCAAATAATGAAAAAGTCATTTTTAATCGACATTTTTCTTATAATATTCAGGTAACACATGTATCAAATCATTTCACCGTTATTCATAAATATTTGAAAAAAAAAACCGAAACTAATTTGAAATAGTACCAAATTTTTATTTACTTTCATAAATTTATTGCTAATCAAAATAATCAACTTACATATTAACGTAGAAAATTGTTTTTGGTAGTATTGTTTTTTTATTTCACAAAATTACGTGCGTTGATTCAAAACTGATTGATACAAATTTTCAACACTTATTAGGACTGACTAGAGAAATAGCAGCATTAAGTGGGGCACGTGGTGATTCGGAGAACGAAACGGCTGATATAACACCTGACACAGACACCGAAAGTATCGATCACATGCATCGAAATATGCAGGGCTCATTCAAACGATCAACCCCATTGATGGGAAATCGTAGTTTGGAAAGTCGCAATAATAAGCATCATTCACAAGCAAAGAAAGAACATATCTCGGCCCAACAAAATTGCAACAGCATGAATATGATTGATAATTCACAGTGCAAACAACCAATTACGGTTGGTGCATTGGAAGTGCAAAATGTAAAGCGTGCAATCAATCGTTATGGCACACTACCAAAAGGTGCTCGAATCGGTCAATATTTAGAATCATTAAAATCAAATGACGCTGATACTTCCATGGCATCGGATTTACCGCCACCTCCGCCAATGAATTCCAGGTAAGTAGCTCAAAATTAGCCACCCTCCACAAAACAAAACCTTCCCATCTATCTTGCTTTCTCTCGCTTCTAAACTCTTGCACCCTTTTTTCAAATTGTACATATTATTTTGAAAACAAAAAAATAGTAGCTTGAATTCAAATGCTGCAATGTCGCCTCGTTCAGCGATGAAAACTCAACCGCAAATGATTCGAAGTAATTCATCTGGTGGTGTCATAATGACCAATTCAATCAATTCGAATTTCAGCAAACTACAGCGGCACCGAACCACAGCTGATGGTGTGATGATATCATTTTCGTCGTTTCGCAGCACAAGCGGCAGTCCAAAGCGATCATTTAATCCATCGTTAGGTATATTTATTTTAATTTTTTTTTTTTTTTTCAATAATAAATTTATTTGGAATATTGATTTGTTTAGCCGATTTGGAATTTCCGCCACCGCCATTAGATCTACCGCCGCCACCCGAAGAATCGAATGGTGATGGAATGCAAATTTCGCAATCAACAATAACAACGCTATCAAACGATGTGGCAACAACAGAACCAAGCGTGGAAGAAGCAAGCTCACGATTCGGTGTAAGTCTACGTAAACGCGAAGCATCAACTGATTCATGCAGTTCACTTGGCAGTCCAGCAGCCGGAGCTACCAATGAAATAATCAACGATAGTATAGGAACATCGGCAATTGCAAAAAATAAGGGAAAATTGGAAACAAAACTTGTGGCTGAAATCAAAGAAAGAAACGAACAATATCAACGAAAACCAATTGGAGATGTGCCAAATACTAATAACTACCATTGCAATAGCAATAACAATAATAATAGCGTAACCAAATCAAACGATCATGTATTACAATTGGTAAATGAATTAGCTGAAACAATGAATTTACCAAAAACAATGGGTGATTCAAGTGCGGCCAATAATTTTAAAGCTCAATTGAAAAAAGTCGATTCGAATAAAAAGTCACATAAGACAACGGCAGCAACCGGATCCACATCATCGGTGTCAGATAGTTCGAATGCTGTACCGTTTGATTTTAAATCAAGACTGCGAAAAGTTGAGAATAACAATGATAACGAATCGATGGAAACCACATCCGATTATCGTAAAATGCTCGACAATGATAATACAGAAATACGTGGCACCGTTTCGAAAAAATCAATTTCAAAACGGAATTGTGATCGAATCGGTGGAACAAATAATGATCTAGAATGTGTGTTGAATAATGGTAAAAAAACAACAGCACACAATGAACCGAAAGTGATTGATGGAAAAAAGACTGACTTTAAAACGGACCTTTCTGATAAGGATAACAAAGATAAACGAGACGGAGATTCCAAAAATAATACAACGACCAATGAAGATGAGGACAAACGTCGAAGTACCGGTAGCATAAGCAGCTTGAAAAAATTATGGGAAACGAAAGAAATGTCAAATAGTGAATTGTCACAGATACAACTTAGCCCAAAGTTGGCAACAAAATCAACATTGAGCAATAATCATAAGGGCAACAATGATGAAGAATTTGATGCATTGAGTGCAAATAAAAAGCCGGCCGTTCCAACAAAACCAACGAAATTGGTTAGCATCTATGCGACACCAATTCAAGTGAAATTGCACACTGATTCGGCCACATCACCATCATCTTCCACATCGATTACGGCTATGTCAAACAATAGTACAACACAAGTGAGCCGGGAAGCGATTTTAGATCTTATTCAAATATTGGAAGGCACATTGAAAACGCCAATCAATTCAATTTCAGCATCGCAATGGCTTCAATTAAGCGATAAACTTAACATTTTACAAACATCGTGTGTAACATTTGCTGATAAGACTTCAATGGCACCACATTCAAAGTTTCAATTTCGTGAATTGGTGTCACGCGTTGAGAATCAATCGCGTAGCCTACGATCGGCCGGCAGCAAAAACACACAGGACAATGAAAAATTGGTGTTCGAAGTTGGGCAGTCATTAAAGCAAATATCAAACGCTCTGCATCGATAAATTCATTGGTTCTGTTTCTTTATCAGCACATCATTAAAGATTTAATTTAAAAACAAAACACATTTCTTACGGAACCAATGTGCAACCATGTTTGCTCAATATATACATGAACACACTTTTGGAAGCTATATTTTTCATGATTGATTTTTTTTTAATTTTGACTAAAATTCAGTAGTTTTCACAAGAAACAAAATGCAAAAATAATTTTATGTAACCATTAATGACAATTTAATAAGTATTTATAACATTGTGATCTGCATGCTCTTCTACTAAAAACAAAATGAAACCAATAACAAACACTCGAAGAAGAAACTGACGAAAATGATTCGTGTCCAATGCTGATTTATAGCTCAATGAACCGAACAAAAAGAAAATTACGTTGATATTTACAAACAAACAAAATGTGTGCTCCAAAAACAAATGATCAAAGTTTATATGGTTTATTTATATAGTGAATTCCCAAAATTAAAATACGATTCGCGATGATTTAACAAACAAAGTGAAGCAGAAATATAAACATAACATTGAAGCTCACATCATTCTAGTCTTTCATAGTATCAAAGGGAATTGACAACATTCTCGTTTAACATATATAGATAGAGGGAGGAGGGAGAAAGAGAGAGAGAGAGAAAACGAATTCTCCAGCCAAGTAGTTTGTGATGGTCATTGATTCATAATAATAACATTTTATTAGTTGTACGTATTCATCATGAATCAAATGATTTTAACGATCGTAGTTTCTATTTTTGATTGAACTTTCGTTGTACACAATTCTCCGTGCTGTTGTATTTAAAAGTGTCCGAAAGCATTTGGCATGCACTAAAACTTTGCATACAAATTGCAAACCGATGCTTTTGATGCGCAGCTCAATGTTGTACGAAACAATGTTCCAATTTGTTATCGGCAAAATCAAATTATTTGGATGAAGAAAATGTAAAAATATTCACGTGACAAGCTAAGAGAAAAAAAAACTTGAGTCAAATTACAACTGGAGTCATGATTTATTTTTTGTTCCATTGTTCTTCTGCGAATATGGCTCCTAAATCATTTTGGAATCGCATTACTCTTTTCGTCCATATTCACTGTTTTATAACCAGTTTTGGCAGAAATTCATGTTGCTTGCTGTTTTTTATGACCACAGTTGTAATATGATTTCTTTTATATGCAGCCTGCCAACGCACGAATTGTATTTATTATTATTTTTTTATACTCACATAGCAATTTTTTTAGTATAATTTTTAAACCATTTAAATTATATATATATTCGTCGAATCAAAACAAGAGTAAAACAAAAGTGAATTAATAAATGCAGATGAACATAAAATAATTTACAATCAAACAAAATGAAATAATAGTTAATGATATCTTGAACCTTGTGTGCTCATAGAAGTTTTTAAGTCTGTCGTATATTTTCTTTTCCAAGTATTAACATATTTAAAAAGTTGCATCTCCGCCGATCGGTTTCTCCATTTTCCATATATACATATATATTTTTCTTTTAAATTTTGAATTATTAAGTTGTAAATGATAATTTTATTTAAAATTTAAAAAAATCCGGAATCAAATCAATCCAATACATACTCAAAGTCCAAAGATTCCATCCCCATATACAAAACTGAATCAATAAAGACACACAAAAATACCGAAATAAAAAAAGAACAACAATAGTAGAAGAAAAAAGAAAATAAAAAGCCAACCAATCTCTAGTTATCATAAGATATTTGCTTAACGAGGATGCATCTGTATTATTAAACTTAAGCGCTTATGCCAAATATTTCAAAATTGGTATACATATTTTAATACATTAATTATTAATACGTAAAAAAATCATATTTGTAATTGTCAGTATTGTCGCATCTTTCGAATAAATTCATTGAACACATGCAACAGAAAAATGTGAGAAAAAAACACTTAAATTCTAGTAAAACACCCAAAGTTAATTGACGCAAAAAAAATCCCTTAAATTTGCTTAAATTTCATAAATTACAGACACGCATGAGCTAATTTTACAAAGTTTTCTGCAAACTCTTCTATAATTACATAGAAAAAAGAATGCAATTTTTATAGAATCTTCAAAATTAAATTTTCACAATAACATGTGTTAGGTTAGTTTTGAGACTAAATTCAGACGTCCTCCATTTGAACAACAAATATAAAATATTAAATTCCTTTTTATTGGTATAAACCTATATTCATAGGCTATCGAATAGCACATTCTGCGTCAAACCTTCAAAATCATGGTCTGGACAACTGATTTGTCGATTTCTTTCAACTTTCTCTCGAATCTTCCAACCAGTTGTTGCTCGTTTCAAGTATTTTGGATCTTCGCCTATAACATGCATCCAAAAACAGACTAGAAATAATTAATTTAGTGTTTTTTTGTGAAGTTAAACAGATGGTGCTTTTTTCTTGGAAATGCTACTCCTTAAGAAGTGGAGGTTTTACCGTACGTTACAGCACTAAATTTTCGTCAACCTTTCAAAGAAGATCCCACCATACAAACACCCGTTTATCAAAGTTCGGTTCAACGACGTCTCTAGCCTTATATAGTAGTGCCCTAAACCACTATATAGCAAAAGAAACCACTTGCACTTGATTCGTGGCTCAATTTGGGGATGAATGTTTCACCGTCCAAAATCATGAATTTTTCAGTGTAACATGCGGTACGTGAAGTAAACACACAATTTTTGACGACCTTTGGAATTTTTCCGTAACTTATTTTGCTGATGATCGTGTTCAAATTTGGATGTACTGTAACCATAAGAATCACCAAAAATGAATTTTTGCTTGACCAACCCGGTTTTCGGTTCTTGATGACAATTTCGAAAGGTTTGAGCACACAGATTGGGAATACGACCGTACTTTTTGCTTTCTCCAGAATCTTCATATTCATAATAAGTCCATGAAACACGATACATGGTTCGAAGAAAGATTGGTTCATCTTTAGACACATGCAGAATTTGTTTTGAACTTAGCTGTCTAAAACCATTTGAGACACTTTTTCGTAAATCCAATTTGTACGTCATCACGAATGAAAATTTTTGTGCAAATTGTATTTGACAGTAGAGTAGGAGTCCCGTTAAGTCTCCTATGTGCTTTGGTTGATAGTTTTGATTTTGTTTATGTAGCGCAATACACGCCTGAATTTAGTCTCAAAACTAAACTAACACGTGTTATATTTTCTTCTCGCTAGCAATGCATAGTAGTGTCTTTCTGTCTCGACATGCTTATCCTTCATCATTCGATTATAAAAAAATATTTTCACATTCATCCCTCTAAAAGAAAATCATTTTTTTTAAATCAAAATGGATGGACTAATGAAATACCGAAAAAAATGAGTATGCAGATATTATCCAAAATGCGATGTTCAATTGAATTTGAAAGTCTGATCAACGAAAAATATCCAACCATTTTTTTGGTTTTTTAAAGGTGAAGAAAAACAAAAAAACAAATGTGTCTTTTTAATGAACATGCTCGTTTTCGAAAGCGATCTCTTTGAACCAAATTATCAGTATGAATATATAAGACAAAGGAAAATTCAATGAAATTTGTACTTTTACCTCCTACAGATAACAAGATTGAAACGAAATGATACTGTGGATGAGAGGAAGAGAGATAAAGATATTATTGTATGAAAGTGAATAAAAGAAAAGGATCAATTCCATCGGAATTTGTTTTTTTATTTATTGGAGCATGAAGCTCAAGAATGGGTTAATGCGTTACTTTTTTCAACATTACGTTATTTGCGTTTTTCGGCCGGATTTTACCGTGCTTCGGCCAAACTAAGCCGCTCTTCCAACTCTCTTGCAAGCTCTTCGTCGCGTTCCTCGGCTTTTTTGGCGCATTCTTCGAGCTCTTTGTTGCGTTCGAAGAGCTCTTTGGCGCGTTCTTCTGCCTTGCTACCGAGTCTCCGAGAGTTTCATATAAACTCGCCTTACAATAGCCAAATGACGCCTATTGATTCAATCACGATTGGTATTCGCTTACTATTCAATAGGTATCACATAGCAAGTTTATATGAAACTCTCGGACACTCGGTATAGAGCACTCAAATAGTTAAAAAGTCCAGATCGTGATTTAGATGATATGGAATACGATTTTTTTCATTCTGATTTCACCAGGTAATACAGAAAATTGTGTAGTATTTGTAAATCGAAGAAAAAAAAATTATTTATTTTTTTCATTTTTCGTGAATTTTTATCATAGGACGAGCCTAAAAGTGTCTTTTACATGTATTTATATGCAAACGTCATTCTCTGAACTTTAGAAGAATCCCCCTACACTAATGTAAGAGGAACTAGAAGAAATGGTGAGGAACTAGAAGAAATGGTTTGTGCATTGGATAAATTTCCACTATTGTATATTAAATAAGACATGAACCACCACACATTTTCATTAGTTCGATGTTTATAGGATAGATACAGCGCCATTCAATGTCTGACAACTATACTTGTCCTATGATTTTTATCATCTACATGATATATAGTCCGCCTCGCTCATAAAAAAATCCATTTTGTCGGCGTAAAAACAAAATTCCGATTGTTGCAAGCAAAAGAACTATAGACAAACTTGAGAGCAAAAACACGACATATCGCTTATTTACTTTTGCTCGGATATTGAATATGTCGTGGTTTTGCTCTCAACTTTGTGTGTCGAATTTTTGCGCTCGATTATGGTATTGTTTTTCTCCAAACAAAAATACGTGCTATTTTTACGCATAAGAAAATTGAGTGTTGGTTTTACTATCAGGCTGTCATATGTCTATTTCGTGTGTATCATTTTCGCGTGACACGAAGTAGACAGATGTACATAGTCACATGTAAATAATCAGAGCTTACCATTTGAGTTATCCATTGATTCGCTCTTTAAAAAAAAACAATTGTTAACAAATCAACAAAATAAATCAACGATGTCAGAAAAATCGAAGAAATCCTGTCAAGGCAAAGACACATTTGAGCGCATTAATTTTTTGTATCAAGCCGCATCTCAAATCACATCTAAATCAAAAGTTTTATCTTCTTATTATGGCTTACAATGTAAAATAATCTCAAAAAAGTCGTTGCAGCGAATGTAAGCAATTTCTTTCCTCAACCAGAAAATATCGGCCATTTGAAAAAAAATTACATTTCCAAAATTTTGGCAGGGAACCGGAGATGAAACGAACGATGTGCAAACAATGCGGTTTAGTTTTGAAGCCAGGTGTATCAGCTGAATTATCCATTGAAGATGGCAATAGAGACGATGTGAATTCATGTCTAATCAAGTGTGGCAAATGTAGTACAACCAAACGTTTTAATATAAATTCAAAATATAATTTATGGCTCGATTCACCAGATGCCATCAGTGATGTAATAAAACCGAAATGAAATTTTGTCAAATGTAACGATGCCATAAGCTCCGAACTTTCATTTTCAATGAAAATGTTTGAATTTAATTTTGGCACACGAATAATGTTATCTTCATCATGTGATTGCATAGATTATTGTTAATTTTAAGAGTTTCATTAAGTCTCTGGTTATACTTACTCAATATTTTCTATTCCGAAATAAAAATAAGAATAAAAAACCATATAAAAGAGAAAAACTACATTTGGCTATCGTTGTTTTTTTTTGTAATGTTTTCCGCATTGTTAATTTCGGACGAATTTTATTCGTCCAAAATTTCGATGAATATTTACATACGCCTCAACAAATAGAGACTTAGATGTGACAATATCAATTAAAAATTTCGTCAGACATGCCTTTAATTTTAAAAATTTGCGTCGTTCGCGTATCTATTTAACATTCAAAACTTTCTTAACGGCTGCCACTACATCTTTAGCTTGAGGCAAAGCAGCGGCTTCTAATGACTGAGCATATGGCATTGGGACGTCAGCACCTAATCAGATAAGAGAGATGATTATATATAAATTTTGTATACAAGTATGTACATGAAACGGTCAGAGATAAGTGTTATCAAGAAAGTGACAGAGTAAAAGAGAATAAATCATTTTTTTTTTAATAAAATCGTACCAGTTACACGGACGACTGGAGAATCGAGGTGGAAAAATGATTCGTGTTCCATTATTCTAGCGCAAATTTCAGATCCAATACCTTAATGAAAAAAAAAAACAGCAAAAATGTTAATATTCTTCCAGATGAATGAAATGGGCGATTGAAATAAAAACATACCGCTTTGTGGCCAACCGCCTTCAACCGTGACAAGATGATTTGTTTTTTGAACAGATTGGAAAATCGTATCCACATCAAGTGGTCGCACTGAACGCAAATTAATGACTTCAGCTTCGATTCCTTTGCCAGCCAATTCGTTGGCTGCTTGAAGTGCTGCTTCGACCGGTCTTGAATGAGCAACAATTGTAACATGTTTACCGGGCCGTTGAATTTTTGCTTTGCCAATTGGTAATACAAATTCTTTGTCCAATACTTGATCCGTCACCGGATATGAGACACCATAAAGCATTTCATTTTCCAAAAACACAACTGGATCGGGATCACGAATGGCGGCTTTCAGTAAACCTTTACACATAAAACATCAACATTTATTCAATCATAGATGTAAGCGAAAAAGCAACCGAATTGCCTTACCTTTGGCATCTTCACTGTCATATGGTGAAATGACTTTTAATCCAGGGCAATGAGCATACCAGGCGGCAAAGCATTGTGAATGTTGGGCACCAACACCAGCTGCAGCACCGTTTGGACCACGGAAAACAATCGGCACATTGACAGTACCAGCTGACATGTAAAATGTTTTTGCTGCCGAGTTAATCACCTGATTGTGTGTTCATTACACGTTAGAATCAAATGGAGACAGCAAAAAAAATTGCGAAAAAAGCAAGTCGAATGATGTTTACCTGATCGATGGCCTGCATTGAAAAGTTGAATGTCATGAATTCACAAATTGGTCGAAGGCCGGCCATTGCAGCACCAACAGCAATACCAGCAAAACCCATTTCAGTGATTGGGGTATCAATAACACGCTTATCACCATATTTTTTCCACAAACCTCTGGAAACCTATTTTTCAAAAAAAAAAAATCATATTAGAGTTCAACGCTACATTTTCAATTCAATATGGATCATTCGATAACTAAATGCAACATAATCAAAAATATATTGCTATATTGATTACGATCACAATTGAAAGAACATCAAACATTATACTTCCTATTGATCGATACTATAGATACTTGATGATTGTAATTGAAAGTACGATTGAAGGTTGATTTCAATATTCGCGCGAATTTGTTTGTAACGATTAATTTTAGGGGTAAAATCACAAAAAAAATTCGAAAAAATTTCATTCAAATTCGATATAAACTGGATAAAAAAATTGCAGAAAATATCATACATTAAGAATGTACTGTGTGTTGTTTTGAAAATTCGAACGAAAAAAAAACGATATAGAAGAATCAGCTGTCAAATAAGATAGTGACATTACATCAAAATACGCGTTATGTAACGGGCACAACCAATCAAACGAATGTCCCAATAATGAATTAAATCACATATCACATGTGAACTGTGCAGAGGGGTGCATGTTATAACATTTGTCGAATTCTATTGACATTGAATAACCCCAACGTATAAACCACAAACTTTTCACTCACGTATGTTTACGTAATCGCATGGTACGTTCGTAGATTTTTTTTTGTATGTAATTTCACTGTACCGCATCAGACCACTTAATCATCTTATCACTTGAGACATAGTCTCTGGTTGATGGAATTGAATATTATCTTTTACCTTGTATGCACCATCGTATTGGGCAACTTCTTCACCTAAGATAAACACACGTTCATCTTTTTCCATTTCTTCGTCCATTGCCTGATTCAATGCATCTCGAACGGTGAGTTGTTGTGCAGCCAATTTATTCGATGTGGAAAAAGCGCGACGAGTCAGCATACGCACGTTTGACAACATTTTTATGGATGATTTTCGGTTTTTCAATTATTTTCGAAATGTAAGGAGATGCGTATATTCAAAAATCTTAAATTGAACTGCTCGACACGAAACGTACGACGACGATGCACAACACGATTTAATTTATATTACAAATTGTTTGTGCTGAAACAAGTGAACCAGCCTGTCGGAAGAATCGTGGTTCGTACTGACTGACATATGTCACGGAATGTAATGATGTCGAATACGATTTTATATCACACGAACTATATACATAAATCGATACTATTCAATCGGCGTGAGTTTGTACACGTTCACGTAGCTTTACTCTATATTGCATACAATGACATTTCTGACAGATGAATTTTAACAGTTCAGCAATATTCGAATTCGAGTAGAATGATTTGTGTTTACAATAAAAAAATAATCATTTAACGTAATTTATTATTAAAGTAGGCGCTTATTTCAAATGACAAATCGCAACCAAAATTCTGAGGTTCTTTTAACCTATGAAAACATACAAATTACCGAAGATGATTTAAAATGTTTGAAAGCGTCCAAATATTTCAATGATAAAATCATAAATTTTTACTTGAAATACATGTATCGCACGTTATTGACTGTCGAACAACAAAGTAAGGTGCATATATTTGATAGTTTTTTTGCTGAAGCATTAGATCAAATGGATGAAAGCCGCACAATTCGATGGTTGAGACGCGTCAATATATTTGAAAAGGACTACCTATTGATTCCAGTTAATGTCGACGAACATTGGTTTATCATGGTCATTTGCTATCCGATGAATGTAGGATTTTGTCATAGCTCAGTACTTCATCGACCTCGAATACTCACACTGGACTCAATGCCACATCATTCCCAAGACAAAATGAAAACATTGATACGACTTGTACACAATTTCATACGATGCGCCTGTGTAGTTCAGCTGAACATGACAGCGGAACAAATTGGAAATCTATCGATACGAATGCAAAATGTGAACGTTGATGTAAAAGAACAAGTAAGCTGCGTTTTACACAATTTTTTTAAAAAGAAATTCCTTATCTATATATAAATATATTTTCTTTTAAATAGTCAAACAATTTCGATTGTGGCATTCATCTGCTGCTGAATGCAGAAAAATTTTTGATTGACTCATTCGGGATATCGGAAAATGTCGCCAATGCAGGCGTGGAATTTCGGTTAAGTCAGGCCCGAGCAAAACGACCTGCCATACGAAACCTTATCAGACGACTCATTGAAGCAACTGAAATTGAAAATGCCGTGTCAAAACCTTCGATTGCATGATATAAAAGATTCAAACGTTTACGTCATTAAAACTTCTTTAAATGTAATTTATTATACTTAAGCAAAAAAAAAAAGAAGGAAAATACATGAAGTATGCAATAATTTGATCAAAATGCTAATTTTTTCATTAGAAGATAAATGTGTTGATCGACTTCGAAGCCATGTAAATTGTTTGCATCGCCTTGAAGTCGCATCAAAAGACCACCGTATGATACATATGCTGATAATCGACTGGATGCCTCATTATGTGCTTCATCACCTTCAATTCGGTAAATCTTTCCGTACATTACATATTCAAAGCTATCAGCACGTGAATCTTCTGTTTCGATTGGATTGTATTCACCGCTGTCTGTTGACATAAATCAAATTCAATATTATTAGCATCATTGTTTTATTTAAATTAATGTGAAACAAAAAAAAAATTACCTGGATAACCATCTTCGCGCAGTGTTGTGGCGAGAACTAAACGAAATTTATCACCCAATTCCATGGGATAAAGCCATGAATTGATGTCCAAAATCAAATCCATTTTGAATGATTCGGATTCACAATGCAAACGACTAACACGATCGAACTTTTTACCTTCTGGATCCATGTCTTTCACATTGAAAATATCTTCAAATAAAACTCCGGACATTTTGCTCGAAACAAATCGATCTGTTTGTAAAAAAAAATACGTCGCAGCAAATGGGATTGTTTTTATCTTGAAAATGCTGTAAATCGTGGTTATAGCGGCCTGTAAGTATTTCACGCGTTGTGTTCAAAAGTAGACATTTACACTAATGGCATAAAATGTGACATTTGTCGTTAAATCAAGCAACTTCACACATGTGTTGCCACCGCCATTACATTGATACCGCGCCATCTGTTTGAAAATATCTGCATATTAACTAAAGTGAACATGTAATGATGAACTTGATGAATTATTAAGATTATTACACAAGTTAATTTACGCAATTAACTTGTAGTTGACAACATATTTCGATTTTTATTAAAAAATAAAGAAGACGTCATTTTCAATGAATTTTACATTGAAAATGGGCGCATGCGCATTGCTAAATAGTTGATTGTGTTGATTTTAATAACAATCACAAACTACTACACATATATTACACACGCACACCAACTCAGACACAAATGCCATGAAACTGACATCGTATGTCATTTTTAGTGGAGCGAGTTTCTTGTTTACAACAAATTTTTCGTTCATTCATTCTCCAAATTTTTCACATTTATTGATAAGAAATTCAATTCGGCCATACTACACGAAAATCATATACACAAATTTTCAACATTACATTTTACCAATTGGATTGTTACATTGATTTTTAATGGATTTGGAATGACATAGAATCGGAAATGGAAAACCATTTGATCAATTAGACGACGCCAATCGGAATTGGTGAGTGTTGTGTGTGATGCATTTTATTGTGCTTTAAATATAGAATTTAATCCTGGTATCCAATGTATACAATTGTGACCGCTTATAGTATTAAAATCAACGCACACGAAACAAACGTAACCATTTGGGTAAATTGAACTGAACCGCGAACCGAATTTAAATTTAAAAAAAAAATACGATAAAAAGCACTTCGAAAGAGAGAAAAACAAAACACACATTTCTCGCACAATACAAAATGTTATGTCATTTCAGTATTCGGTCGATCGGAAAATCTATTACGTTTAGAACATGAGATTTCTGTGTAAATTTTGGAAATTTATTTATTTGGTCGTTTAATCGATCATTGAAATCATTTGATATACTCCCGACATATAATTTTCATTGCGCTTCAAACAGAACAATATCGATCATGTCAATCTTATTAGATTAAGATTACGTTCCATATTTAGATATCGAAAGAGTGCGTACGTATAAATTATGAACATATTTTGAAAATTATTTATTAAGCCATTTTTTCCCGTTAGCGCGAATAGTTTTTGTTTTTGCTTCGACATTTTTACATTTGATCATAGTAGGCCAAGTGTTATTATTTTCACCAATTTTTTTTTTTAACATACTGTTGAGTAGGTTTGAATCTATTAGTGGTTCCATATTTTTTTATTTGATCGGTAAATTGCTTGAATAATAAACTAAACTATAAAACCAGTTCATATTTTATTATAAATTTAACATTATTGAGGATGGAAAAAAACATTTAACCCGTAAAATATAATATACTAAAAATCCATTGGTTTCCATTACAAAATGTTTAAAGTAAATTAATGCCATCCACAAATCGGTCTGGGATTTTATTAACCTTATTTTTATCATTTCTGTTAATGCAAATAACATGCGCATATCTTTGCACAATTGCTTTCATATGTGCATAGATAATCAAAGTGAACAGACTGTTTTTTATATTTCTTTTTTTTTTTGTCATTTCTTTCGTCAAATTCGTATTCCATGTTAATCGTTTGTTTGACTGTTTCGAAGTAGTCTTTCACATATATATCGAAAGAGGAAATAAGTAAACAGACAATCAACAGTCGATTAATTATGTAGAACTTACAATAAATTTAAAATGTAAAGACCAACAAATCCATTTTCTCTCTCTTTCTCTCTCTCTCTTCTTCTTTCTTCTTCTTCTCCTTGTTTACGAAAACGAATCGAAATTAGAACACAAAAAATTGCTAATGGTGGCGGTACTGTGAAACATAACAATTACGAAAACACAGAAGTAAGCGAATTTCGAAAAACACACACACACACACTCAAAATTAAACAAATTTCAAATGGATTCTTGTTGAGAACGGTCGAATCACACATCAATTTAAGTAAACTTCCTTAAGATTTAACCAGTATGAAGCGTTCTAGCGAAAACAAGGAGACAATGGCCGCTGGCGCTGTAACATTGTCAAAACGTTCGTATCGATTACGAGGTCCGGCAACAACGGTGGTGGCTAATTCAAAAAAATCATCAACAACAATTAACAAAGCTTCCGTACAGACTACAAAAAAATCAAGTACAAATGACATTGATCAATCAAAAAATGATGATGCAAACGGCGACAATTCACTGGCCAACAATCGTACCAGACGTAGTAGCACGAGATTTGGATCACGATCATCTACGAATTCAATTGGTATAAATACGCGCACAAAGTCAACGGTTCGTGACGAAAACAATCACAGTGCAACAATGATCGGCAACAATAAGAAACGAAAAACAGCACCACCACCATCGCATTCACAATCGATAAATGACGTTGACAATGTTGTGGAAAATGGTCGTAAAAGTCGAGGCTCTAAAACAATAATTAGAAATAGTAAAAATGGTGACGGTAAAATTAACGGTATCCATAATAGTAACGATCATGATAACAGTAATGTGGAAAATGGCCCAAACGTTGATCATAGTATTGATGAAAATGATGAAAAATTACAAAACAATTCAACGAAATCAAAAACGAAACGCATACGTACTAAACGTAGATATATTTGTAACTTTTGTGACAAAGAGTTTTTAGGTGGCAACGATTTGCGCAAACATATTCGCATCCATACCGATGAACGACCATTTGAATGTCAACATTGTGGACAAAAATTTCGACAAGGTGGCTGCTTAAAGAATCACATCGCCTCACAACATGGCACTTCCGAAACGTTTACATGCTACTATTGCAATAAATCGTTTCCGATTAAGGAACGACTTCGACTACATATGAGACTGCATTCAGGCGAGAAACCTTATCATTGTAAAATTTGCTTCAAACGTTTTGCTCGCGGTGGACAGGTTGGCATTCATTTAATTCGTCTTGCTTTTTAAAAAAAATTATTATTTCTTCAACTTTTTTCGATATTACAGTTAACACAACATTTGGCAAGTCATACTGGCGTAAAAAAGTATCGTTGCACACAATGTTCGAATTCATTTTCATGTTCGGTTAATTTGAAATTGCACGTTAAAAGCCATTTGAATGTTCGTGATTATACATGCCATCTTTGTGGTAAGTCATTCGTGCGACCTGATGCACTGAAGAAGCATTTGACATGTTTCCATGAAAATGTAAAGGCATTTTTCTGTAACATTTGTTCGCGAACATTCAAAGGACATTTGCCGCAACATATGCGCACCCATGAAAATGTCAAATCGCATGGATGCGCCAATTGTGGTGCAACATTCTCGCAAAAATCGCAGCTAATCGTCCATCAGCGAATCCATTCGGGTGAACGGCCGTATCGTTGTCAGGTATAAACAAAAATTGAAAAAATAAATAAATAACTAAACGATTGATTGCTAACGTAAATTCCATAATAGGTGTGTTGGCAAGCATTTGCACATTCGAGCGTCTTGAAGTTGCACATTCGTAAGCATACTGGCGAAAAACCATTCAAATGTTCCGTTTGTAAAGATACAGAGACGGCATTTTCGCAATTGCCACACTTGAAAACGCACATGAGAGCCATTCATGGCATGGACAAGGTTTATCATTGTGAATACTGTTCGGAATACTTTAAAACCAAACACGAATTGCAAGAACATAAAATCAAATGTTCAAAAGCACCAAAAACATCGGAACATCACATTGATGAACAATACAATGGCCTTCACACCGTTATTGAACCGAAATGTTCAACAAAAGAGACAACCCTATCCCGGATGCGGCTTCTAATTGCGGTGCTTTTAAAAAAGATTTCATCACAAGATCGTCTCAAGCAGCTCGGTTTTGATAAGCGACTTATTGACAATGTACTGATGGACGCATTAAAAATGGCCGGCCAAGATGTGTGCACCGATTCAAATTTACACGAAGTGGAACGCTTACGGGCAAATGTGAAAATTTTCTTGGACTGGTCCATTCCCGATGCGTACATGAAAAAATTCAAAAATGAACAACGCAGCACAGAAGAATTGCTTGAAGATCTCACCAGCAACTTTAATCGTCAACCGAAAAAAGCATAAGTTTGCTTATTGTTTGTTAATTTTTTTTACATGAATTGAATATGGAATCGGCCATCATAACAAAACAGGTTTAGATGAATTATATATTGAATTACATGTTTCTACTATTACAATTATTATTAGAATTTTGGTTTTTTTTTTTAAACACAAAGTAAAACGAAATGAACTAGCCAAAGTGACGTTTTAACATTTTGCTATTTGCCCAAAGAGAACATATACCAAATATTTCCTATTAGAAATGCCATTTTCCAATTTAGTTAATTCATTTTTAAAAGTGATTAAGTTTTATAGTATATAAATCTAGTCTACATTTTTATTCAGCATAAAAAGAAAGGAAGAAAAGAAGAAAAAAATAATATCACATCTGCATTCAGTTAAAAAAAAAATAAAAAAAACATTTTATTTTTCATTCAGAGACGGAAAAAATATAAACCTAAATTATAATGTGATATTTAAAGGCCTTTTGTATGTTTTGATATAAACGGAAACAAGAAAAACACATAAAAAATGATTCACTGAAATCAAAGAAACAGATCATGTTCTTCGATAGTGAATTGATTCAAACAAAAATTTATATGAATCCACTGTCTTTCATCGATTCAGTTTTAACATTTTAGATGAATACGAAAATACAAACAAACGAATTTTACAATTTCAATTTTGCTGAGCAGAAGTCAAATTATAAATTTAAAATGAAAAAAAAAATGGAAAAGTCATTTGCAATAACTCAGTAGTATTGTCTCTTTTATTTAAGTAAAGTCACCGAATGTAATTTCATTTTGTTCTTTCAATTATTAGTCGTTCTCAGTGTTTCTTATTGAATAGTATTTAACAAAGAAGATTAAAAAACGCATATTTATATTAGGGAAAGAGAATCGATTTTGCCACCACAAGTCATCTTGAATTTAGCATGACAAGATGCAATTCAATTTTGCATGGCAAAATGGACGGTTACAGTTTGAAATGTAACGTTTATTTAATTCGGTCAACATTAAGCATTTTTTATTTGAGAGAAAAATGAGAATAGTAAAAGTAAAACAAAAAGAACTTTCGAATCACATCAGCAGTAAAATCAACCCAAAGAGAAACAAAAACAAAAATTAGTTTCATCCGTAATTTACATAATTATTCTTAGTAAAAACATATCGATCGAAAAAAGAAAGAAAACCCAATGGCATTTCATTTATAATGAAAACAAAAACTAAACTAACATTTTGCTACCATAAAGTGTAATATCGAAATATACCAAAACAACAACAACAACAAAAAATGATTTTTTTAAAATATTTTTCTCAATAAATTATAATAATTGCAAATTGTGTGTGTGTGTGTGTGTGTTTTTGATCTTGAGATTGCGTGATCATGAACCCCGAAGTTAATTTTTTAAATGTTGTAATTCATTTCAGAAAGTGTGAAAAGGAGCATTATTTTGAAATATGAAATTTCATTAAGTAAATATAAATAAATTGCAGACTTGGCGTTGCACATTGACTGAAACATTGCTCAATGTGAAACAGATTCGATTCGAAAACAAAATCGAAATAAAAAGAAATCGTCATTTTTCGTGAAATACATTTACTAAATTTAGCGATGATACGCTTTCAGAATATGAAAATATATAAATGTCACGATTGTTTTTTTTGTTCATGTCCACAACAACAAAAAAAATAAATCCAATCGATAAGATATCTGAATTTTTAGAAGTGTACAATTATACAGCTAATTGAAATTTCGACACAGAATATTGCTTGATGACTCGTCATCAATATGAAATATGCGTTTGAATTCGGTCTGTCTACTGTTTTGTTGTTGTATCGTCGCACAATCTCTTTCCGCCAAACAATCTCTCATGTAAATATGGATTCGTGACACGGTGTCGCATCAAATAAACCATATGGAGTGCTAAAAATACGGTGAAACACTTATATGATATTTTCCCAATGCAATTGATGTGTCGCATTTTCAAATGAATCCGAAAAAAAAAATCCGCATGCTATTAAAGTGTATTTTAAATTTTTGTGCTTTGAACAGAAATTCTATCAAAACAATGAACTGCCGGCAAAAAAATAATAATCACCACAACAAACAAGCGAAATCGGGAACGTCAGCCACATATTCGATATATATGGCACTGTCGTACACAATACACCATCACTCATGGAATGCTTTTGTTGTATTAGTGCGTCAGTGTGTATGATTGTGTACGTTGTGTACGTTGTATACATCATACCAAGCGTATAGAATATGGACAACAAATTGTGATCAGCCAATGAATTGTGCCCACGATGAAACGACGTAATGCCACGTTACGAATTTAACTTGACTCATGTCAATGTCTATGCGCATTGAAATCATAAATGTTCGGTGGTGTTGGTCCATTGTATATTTACATGCTTTGGCTTTCCTCTTTTGCCTCATGTTTTGATGTTGTTTTCGTTTCGTTTTATTTTGTTGACTCAACACTAATATATTCGTTTCTTTAGGCAGAACAACGACGTGGAAAAGCAACGTCACTAACAACATAACATACTGTGTGGCAATACTGCAAACAAATACACATTCTCTCATCATTCAATTTGTTCGTGCGGCGTGTGTATTTGTGTGAATGTGTATAAGTGTACGCGAGAGAGTTCATACTTCAGCGTTAAAACATTTTAAAAGAGTTCACAAAATACTTAAAGGCAAGCGAATTGAATCTCGACAGTAAGAAATTTTACTTGCTACCGATTGGTTTTTAGTTCTTTTCACGGAGCGCATTGGTCTCATCGTTTTCTTTTGAAAAGTAATTAACATTTTGTCACATATTTTTCGGGTAAAATGATTTTAATTACGAAGAATCAGCGATAAATTTGTTGAAATTCACTGAATTATAATGAAATTTTGCATAAACATTTAACGAAACTATCGACATTTTCTTTGTCTTTGTAAAAAAACGGGAATTTGAATCATCTTGACTATTATGTGACTTGTTCTATAAATCAAAAGTTCCAACAAATCACTGCGTTGAAAAATTCATTGGCGACTTACTAACGCAAAACATTATTTAGACTTCGTAAATTTTCATTCAACATTTGAACAACAAACTCATTCTGATTTATACTGTTTCCATTTTTTAAAATAATAATTCTTTGTATTTTTCCTGATAATTCCAGTTCGTTTCATCGGTTCATTTTATTTGGTGTAGTAATCAAGCGGGAGAATAAAAAAAATGTTTTTATTAGCTGTAACAACATGCATACTTGCATTATCTGGCTTTGTACAGTGTGAAGCTGAATCAAAACCAAATGTTGAAAATGGTGTTTTAGTGCTTACACAAGATAATTTCAAGGGTGCATTAGCCGAAAATGAATTCATTTTGGTCGAATTCTGTAAGTATTACTATCTATCTAATTTCATCAGTTCATTTTAACATGGCCCACATCTCCATTGTATAATATACATATTAAATCCGTTCCGACATAGAAAGAGATAGCACTAGACGTAGAGTGAGATTTTCTAACCTCTAAGTTCATGCACTCAGTTCTTGTTCGTCTTCTTCTTCCTTTTTTTTGATGTAAATGATAAACTTTTCCATTTCGTTCTAAACAATATACTATCCGGTTTATTTTGCCACATATACAACATAAGACAGCGTGTTATACTAATACCCTCAAATTACAACGTCTTATACACATGTTATGCCATGACAGTTTTAAAGAAAAAAAGGTGGTGGTTTGGACATTTTTTACATACGATTTTCAACACTTATTGCTATCAGCAAACAACAAAAATTATACAATAAATTCGAAATTTTCATGTCATTTCCAAACGATTTTTGACAATTCATTCTGATTTCCAGATGCTTCAACAATGCAATCTATAATATATATTATTCTTAAAAACTAAAAACTATCAAAGTATTTCAATAAAAAAATTTGACTCATATGTGCGCGAAGAATGGCATGGTATTGACGATAATTAATTTTAAATGATGCAATAGCAGCATTGCGTGTCTTAAGCATAAAAATGTCATGCCAATTGAACATGTATTTTTAATGCTTTACTTTATTCTTTTCCATAATTTTCAATGTTGAACAGATGCTCCATGGTGTGGACACTGTAAACAATTGGCACCAGAATACGAAAAAGCCGCACAAGCCCTAGAAAAACAAGGTTCATCAATCAAATTGGGTAAAGTTGATGCCACCGAACAAGCATCATTGGCCGAAGAGTACAACATTCGCGGTTATCCAACATTGAAATTCTTCCGCAATGGAAATGAAATTGAATACAATGGTGGCCGTACATCCGAAGAAATTGTCAACTGGTTGGTCAAAAAGACTGGACCAGCTGCTGCTGAACTTAAAACCGTTGCTGAATTGGAAGCCCTCACCGAGGCCAACAAAGTCGTTGTTGTTGGTTTCTACAAGGAGAGTGAAAAAGCCGCCGCATTTTTGTCAGTTGCCAGTGGCATCGATGAATTTCCATTTGCCATCACCAGTGCTGATGAACTTTTCAGGTAAATTTTATCAATAAATATTTAACTCAATCGCATCAATCGCAAAATATTGAAGAATCCAATCCGAAAATCATTCATTTGAAAATATAACATTTTGTGTGTTTTTTCGTTCGCATCAATAGCAAATATGAAGTTCAAGATGGCGCAATTGTATTGTTCAAACAATTCGACGAAGGTAAAGCGGTATATGAAGGTGAACAAGTTGAGGCCGACATTAAGAAATTCGTGGCCGGTGAATCGATGCCATTGATTGTTGAATTCAACCATGAATCAGCTCAAAAAATCTTTGGCGGTGAAATCAAGAGCCATTTGTTGATGTTCGTATCAAAAGAAGCCGGACATTTGGAACAATATGCCGAAAAAGCAAAGGATGTTGCCAAGAAATTCCGTAGCGAAGTTTTGTTTGTTACAATTAATGCTGATGAAGAGGATCACAAACGTATCTTAGATTTCTTCGGTATGGAAAAAGAAGAAGTTCCATCAATGCGATTGATTCGCTTGGAAGAAGATATGGCCAAATACAAGCCAGAAAATCCAGAATTGAGCGCCGACAATATCGAAAGCTTTGTACAATCATACCTTGATGGTAAATTGAAACAACATCTCCTATCACAAAAATTGCCAGAAGATTGGGATAAAACACCAGTCAAAGTTCTTGTCTCTTCCAACTTCGATGAAGTCGTATTCAACAAAGACAAAGATGTTCTCGTTGAATTCTATGCTCCATGGTAAGCAAAACAATTTACTATTTCTATTCTGAAACTTGTTGTTTTACTTTGAAATTTGAATGGCACACTTGCAATGGCCAATTAATTATGGTGTGTAGGTGTACGGCGTACGACGAAATATAAATAAAACAAGGGGACAACAAGTTTTCAACATTTGAATCATTAATTCCATTATATGTATAAATTAATATTTTACTTTCGCTGTGTAGGTGCGGCCATTGTAAACAATTGGCTCCAATCTACGATCAACTTGGCGAGAAATTCGCTGATTCAGAGACTGTTGTTATTGCCAAGATTGATGCTACTGCCAACGAATTGGAACACACCAAAATCACATCATTCCCAACAATTAAATTGTACAAAAAAGGTGATAATTCTGCTGTTGATTACAATGGCGAACGCACATTGGAAGGATTCGCCAAATTCTTAGAATCAGGCGGTCAAGATAGCGAAGGAGTTCCAGATGTTGTACGTATTCTTTATCAATATTATTATTTTTCACCATTGAAATGTATTTGATCGTATTGTGGTTTGTCACGTTTTATTAAACACCATTATTTCATTTGCAGGAGGAAGTTGAGGTTGATGAAAGCGAAGAAGCACAACCAAGGGACGAACTTTAAGTTAATAGCGTGTGGCGGTATTTAAATGGCGCAAATCATTGCGCAAAATACAAAAGAAAAAAATTCATAAAATCCCAAACTTAAAAAAGAAACAATAGCAGAAAAAAATTAATTATAGTTTTAAGCGGAGCTAAACTTTCATTTTCATTTTTAAAGAAAATTTTTGTTCAAAGAAAAACCAACCGGGCGAATAACTATAATTTACAGAATAAACCATAAAACCAACATTCAATCAATAAGAATAATAATTTTGCACATAGAGAAATGAAAACGGTACGTTATTTATAAAACTAAATTCTCGTACATACAGAAGTTTAGTCAGTGAATATATAACAAATTTTACCGATCTGGTGAGAATAATTAAACTTTAAGATGGAGATAATGAAAAAAAAAAAAAAAAAAAAAAAAAAACAAAATAAACAAATGAGATATTAGTGGAGCGGGACGTGCTATGAAAATCATGTGATCCTCACGTCAAATACATTTATGGCATTTAATAGTTTCTTATCCCGTTCTTTCACAGGTTCATTTTATTGAATTTTATTTAATGAAATCTCAAAAAGAATAAAAATGTTAATAAAATTCAAGACATTTTTTTAAAAATAAAATAAAAATGAAAATATTTCTATCGATATTAGAATATCACACGATTGGTTAAATAATTCAAACTTAACAATATTTTTGTCTTGTATTTTTTTAAAATAAATATAAAACAAAACAAAAATGCTCCGACTTTTTTTAAATTCATTTATCATAGTCATTGCATCCACTTAACCGGCGATTTTTCTTTTGTCCAAAAACGACCTATAAATATTCACCAGCATCAAACATTTTTGTGTTGTTGTAAAGCGCAAATTCAACTCCGAATGCGTAAACTAATTGACGTCGTCAGTGATTGAGACGTGGATTTAAATGGTGAGAATTGGCTTATGATCAACGCCTGTGATGAGAGAGCTAGCATTGTAAAAGAGATGGCGCTCACCGCATTCTATCAGTTTTTAAAGCCTTGATTTTGTTATCGTTACTGTTATACACTTGAACACAGAAATGTATGCACATGTTCACTCTGTTCACAGCCGTTGATGATGAATATGCAAACCGTTAAATAAATTTCCATACTCTATTTGAAAACAAAGTAAATGAATGTTTTGGGCGCCACAAGTGTTTTATATGTGCATAGAACTCAATTTAGTTGATTGTTCTCAATATCTGTACTTATTTTCATGAATTATTTTAATTCATAATGTAATTAACCCATACCGTTGTCACAAAAGTTTTACGGTAAATTCGGGCAATGGCATTAAAAAGTTATCGAAGAGATTTATTGATAATGATGAATTTAAATGAGCAATAAACTCAGAAATGAAAACAAAACATCATCAACTAATATGCGGCACGATTCAAATAAATGGGCCTATCAATTATGTTTCTTTTCATTCTCAATCACAAGTAATTTATTTCAAAGAAAATTTTTCGTGGAATTTCACTTTTAAAAAATGTACTATCAATTTAAATTACCCACAATTCTTCGAAATAAACTTGAAATAATGATACATGAAACAGTGACAATTCAAAATATTTAACGAACCGATAAATGCTTTGATTTTTCAACTTGGATGTTGTTGGAAGTTTTCTTTATCAGGAGGTATGATTTATGGAATGAAGGGGCATTTGTATTCAGCACTTCTCCTATTGCCAAAAAAAACAGAGACAAAAATCAAACATTTTATGTTAGATATGATTTTAGTAAAATAAATATCCGTCTTGCTTGAAATCACAATTTTCGAATATATTTCACATTTTATTCAAAAATAACTTTTCCTATTATTATTTTTTATAAAAACGATAAGTTTCGCTTGTGCATTAAAATTTATTAGCACCCATGTAGAATTGTTTGAAATGTGGTGTGCCAATGACAGTTGATGTTATAGAAAAACACATTAATTCTTCTGAAAGGATCAAATTTAAGTTCATAGGTAACACATATCTTATAATCGATATGTCAATACCCATTTCGTACGAAAACATGAAAACGAAAAGAAGAAAGCTTGATGCAATCGAGCGATTCACTTATGATTAATAACAACTGTTTGAGCACTTTGGCTCAGCATTTTCACTCTGCAACGTAATTACCAAATTGATGAGTATCTATTTCTTGGCGATGTGACCCGGGTGAACTTTGTCGTAGTTTCTTATTTTGATTTGAGTGGCTTTTTCAATGAATTGAATATTGATAATTAAATGGCATTGCGTAGGCATCATAAAGTGCGTAACGCACTTTATTTAGATTCAATTTTTGTAATTAACCATTTCAACCATTGATCGCGTGACTCAGTAGTTTTCAGTTTTCACAGATTGATACGTGGTGATGCCACATATTATAAGGAAATAATAAACCATTGGGCGTTCTAAATTTAACAGGGAAATGATGATGAAGACGATGAATAAGGTGATTATAAAGAAATATGAACTTTTACTGAAATCTTAAAGAAATTATTTGACCCTCATTAGACCAAAAGACTTTTTCCAACTCAACAGCAATTTTAAAGTTCTTCCCCCTTGCTCAATCCCCTTGCTCAATATAAATATTTGAATAATGTTGTCTTTGATAAGACATTTTTGTACAGCAAATAATTTAATTAAATCATGTAAATGATACGGCTATAAATGGCTAATTGAAGAATCGCATACATTTTGATAAGATTCACTCGAAAATGGTTGGTCATAAATTTTCAAACTTTTTCTTAACCACCAAGTGAATAAATTTTTAAACATTAAGTCATTTTTCACCGATATTCACATTGAATGGAAGATATAGCGAATATTTATAAACGAAGGAAAAAAGGTTGGGGAGCTAACTAACAAAGAAGAAGAAGAAGAATGATAGTGGGGATGTTAAGGTCATGGTATGTTAAATTTTTACTTATAACTAATAAATAAAAATTGTTTGTGAAGTTCAGATTCAGAAGAAATGAATTTATGAAGAGGGAGGCACGGTGCTTCAGATATATATATATGTCTATGTGGGCACAAATAATAAAACCTCTTAATATCAAAGCAAGAAGCTGAAATTGATATTGATTAAAAAAATTGATACATACTTATGAAATGGACGCAATTCCCACATCGGAAATTCTTCCGAAGTGGCCACTTATCTTAATAGATTAGTATCTTAATTGATTGATTTATTTGCGATATCATTAAAGTCCTAATACTAATTGGTACTTGGTATACACGGCATCTAGTTGATTGTTAGCGTTCTTTTCATGCCAGGCTTCTCAGATTTGAGATAAAATGATTTGTAAAATAAACAAATCATGGTAAAGGTTATGATTTGAAATGCACAAAGAAATATCGATACGAGTGAGATAATTATAAGCACGGTATGGAAACATACCGAATCTTTATCCATTTATAAGTTCAAAAAAAAAGAGAAATCAATAAAATGTGCGAGTTGAAATTACACCATATATTCAATGAATATTCATTACATAATAAATCGCCAATATTGAGCTTTTTCATCATCAAACATAAAATATTTCTAATATCGTTTTATTGTGAATCGTTTGGCATCCGTTTGGCTTTGTTGTTAATATATTTTCAAGTAACACTCAACCATAATTTAGTCGTTATTCCGTTCGCGATACCATAGGAACGTCCTCAGAAATATTGAAAGAAATACTAAATAACTGGAAAGGCACATTTTGTGCAACATTAATTTGGCTCTTCTTTACTCAGTGAACAAATAACGTATTTATTGAATTGGAAAACACTATCAATTGTCACCATAAAAATATACATACGTATTGTCGTTGAAAAACTTAACGGAGATTCACTACGGCAAACGATTTTTTTTTTCATGAGGCCTGTTGAAATTCCTGATTCATTGCCTCATTCAAGAAAAGTGCAAAATATTCATTGGTACGAAGAGCTTTCTTCAGAAGTGAGTTTTAATCTTTTCAAGAGTAATGACCTCTTATTATCATATTATTGTCAATTTTTAGTAGTGAAGAACACTTTGTTAGCAAGAACTGATGCCAGTTTCAGTATGGTATACAATTGAAGAAATTGCCAAGCGGAACATTTTACGTATGCCATAAGTGTTATTCATTTTGAACAGCATTTATATTGATTGAGTTCATTCTGAAAACATTTAAAGTTGATGAAAATCCAACAAGGACATCATATAAAACAATGGCATTTTCCAGTTCTTCAAACACCTAAATGTTTTCGATGTTTTTTCTTGCTCCTTTCGGCTGAACGTGAATGAATGTCTTGTGATTTGCGCAATGGAAATTTGTGGGAGAAATGTTGGAGAATTCAGTCTCCGTTGTCCCATTCAAGGAATATTCTCGTAAGTGAACGTCTGATGCTTGAACTGTTCGGTTGGTTTTATAATTCTTTGCTGACTGATTTCAATTTTGAGAATTAGAAACACGCACAGTCACAATCGGAGTTCTTCATAACGGATTTTATTTGTAGAACAATGAAAGCCTTTTTTTTAACATCAAAATGCGAATAGCGGTCCATTGTATAGTTACAAAAAGAGTACCTGTGTGATGGGGCTATCCATTATTTGACTCTTCATATACATGAAATTGATGCCCATGTCTTCATGTCAACACAATTTGCTTTGAACTCTTTTTTTCATGTTTTGCTCACTTCAAATTCGGAGCCAATAAGGATGCTTATTAATTAAATTTACTTGACCCAAACGGCACAGTAATTGAAACAGTCATTTTTTATGTAATCTAAGCAAATCCAGAGACAAGAATACATTTGACAAAACGCGCTTCGCACACCACTTTTGAATACAGAAATGAATGTAGTTTTGATTGGAACCACTTATCTTTTGATAAAACACTGGAATGACATTCAGTGAATATTTGTAAAAAAAAAATGATGTTTTTTGATGATTTTTTTCGTGAGCCTCGAGAATATTCCTCGAACCCAAGCGAAACGACCGCGTTTTATTTATTTTTATTTATAAGTTTGTCGGCAATAGAAAAGAGGATCAGGCAACAGCGTTGCTGTAAATCGTAATTCGTAATGGTTGTGTAAACATTTCAAAATAAAACAAGCACAATTCTAATGGTTTGGTATACATGTGTGAGATATGCTCTATTGTTCAAAGGAAGGGCGCCTACGATTTTTTTTTTTGCTCATTTGAATCAGTAATGCCTGTCAGACATCTCTCGCCCATTTCACGATCTACTGAAAGGGATGCTGAAGACAAACATTCCAGGCGATAATTGCAAAATACGACATTTCATGCGCATCAACTGACTTTGCCGTTCGTTTGCATACATTTAAATTAAGATTAATAAACATTTATAAAAGAAATCGAGGATGAAATAATTTTATTTTGTAAACGAATGACAAACATGTATGCGTAAAGCGATTGAAAGAATTTTGAAATGCTTCAATATCTTCGAATTTCCGTCGTTGTATTTAAGTGAATAAAATTTTAATATCGTGCATGTTTTAATGCCTATATTCATGCAATGACATGAAAAATACACATTCCAAAATCTTTACCGTTTCTATGTCCGTTGGTGCAGTATTAATACCACTTGGAATCAAAGTTGAAAACTTTTCCATACGCAAATACAATTTATTCAAAAGCACAACAAGTTGCTCAAAGAAACAGAACGTTGTTTTGACGCCAGCTGGTTCTACGACGGAACATGGAAAAAATCACGCTTTCTTACTTTAGTAAACAGGAGGCAAAGTTTGATAGTATTTTGATCATCTTTTCCCAGCAATTCGTGCCTTTTGCGAAAACTTTTTTTCATCAATGGTGGGCGTAATTTTTTTTCCCTTAATTTTTGTTCATTGTTTTTCGTACAATAGGCTTATGAATTATTTTTCATTGATACAAAATGTTTGGGAATGGAATTACCTCAATAACTTTAGATTTTAATGTAGAACAGATTATTCTTTGGAATTTTCATAAGTTGACTATAATATACTTGATTGTTTGACATAAAAAAAAAATCCTGGAGAACTCTTATTATAAGAAAAAGTTTTTAATTTAGTACATTGAAAATTTGGCCAAGAAGGTTGAGACTTTGAAATTTTTCTCAATATATTTTGGTCAAATGGATGTGAGGCCTCTCCTGAGATTTTATTGAAATGTAACACCGCCATATATTTGATTCAGGATTTGATTTTGCCAATTTTTATAAAAAAAAAGTATGTATTTTTTTATAAATTGTTTCAGATAGTATCCAAGCTGTTTGAAAATACAAGCAATGTGTGCGTCGCACTCCCAGAGTGACAATGACAGCTCTGCATCTCTATCGGATACTTTATCCAGTAATACTTTTTACCGAGCATTCAGTCCTTAAAACTAGACATTATAATGAGATATTTTCAGCCAGATGAATCAGCTGAGCCAGATATCGTCATTAGCTGAAATTTAGGGAAAACAATAGAAGTGATTGTTATGGTTATAATTACACTTACATTGTTACAATCACTATAACAATCACTTTTATTGTTTTCACTCTATTTCAGCTTCTGGCGATATCTGGCTAAGCTGATTCAGCTGGCTGAAAATATCTCATTATAATGTTTGCTTAAAACAGTTAACAAAATCTTCAATCCGCAAGGGGGGTAATAAGCAATTGAGTGTGAAGCAAGCATCTGTATTAAGAATTCAAATCAATAATTTCCAACGATTCATCATTGCCTAGATATATGCTTTGCATAAAAAAGGCAACCAAAAAATATCTGCATACGATTACCTGCGCTGACGCTTTGTTTCTTGCGTACACCCTGGCGTATGAAGGAATAGATCGACGGTGCTGTGTTGTGTATGTCGCATATATTCGTACATGTGTATACGCCACACACAACACAGCTTCGTCATTCTGTTCCTTGACACGCTGCAGTGCAAAATTGAATCGTTGATAATTTCCAAATCGAAATGAAAAAGTGAAAAAAAAAATTCTTCTCAAAATTACATTTGTTCTTTATTTCGTCAATTTAAATGCTATGATATAAATAATTACTATTTGATAATATCAAGAAAAGAAAATGAAGTAAACATTAATTCAAAAAATAAACATAATTGAAATTAAGGATACTTTTTCACTAATATTGGCTTAAATAGAGCCATCGTTCAACAGATCGTTTGTATGCGAGAATAAGTAATATTTAAATGGTCATTTGATCCATTAATTGATTGGAAAAATATTGATTTTACTATGTACAGTGTACAATTTACAGTGTGGTTATAATATCAACTGATGCATCTTTTGATGGAGACGGTATAATCGGTGGCAATTCAGCAGGTGATGATGGCGGCTGCTTAAGAATACCTGGATTTCCAACTGTATTCTTTAACACCATTTCCATGTTTGTTAATGCCGATGAAACGTAGTATAAATTCTCCATCAATATATTGTAAATTTCGGTTAATTCCTGTTCTGATCGTGACGAGATGAAAGCATCTGTGAAATGACATTTGAAATTCAATTGAATATTAGCGGCATATTTTTTTTTGTAAAATTTTCATTATGTTTTACCGCTTCGATCTTTGGTCAGTCGTTGGGCATAAATCATCAGAATCAGTGAACTATCGTCCAATACCTGAGGGAGAATCGCAAAAGCAAAAAAAAAATCAAAATAATCAATAAATAATAATTGACATAATGGAAACATATAATGAAAATGAAATTGCAAAGGGAAGTGAATTCATTTGATAATCTCATAATAGTACAGAATGGAAAAATAATCGAAAGAGATCGTCCAATACCCAATTGTTTTCAGAAGAATGTGGAACAAGACTTGATGTTAATGTCGATGTTGAAATACAAGATGTTGAACTTCCCGATGGTTGCAATGCAAAATTCGAAACCGGTGACAATGTAACGGTTGATGAATATTTTCGGAATTGTCGTGTCAAGGCAATGGCCGAATTCCATTTTTGTTTTTCAATCATTTCGTTCAAACAACTTTCGAACTCTTGTATTGATGACAATGGTCGGGTGGGTGTGTGTTCACCCTCTGTTGATGTGGATGTGTCCAATGAATCCATATCGGCATCATCGATACAACGTAACAATGCACCACGCACCGTTACATATGCACTGGATAAATCTTCCATTTTAACATTTTGTCGCATAGTTGTCATCACACTGATCGCAATCTTATGATCAGATTCAATTAACAGCATCAATTGAAAAATTAACTTATAAATGCCACGACCCAATTCAATCAGCAGTTCCGATGCGGCTGGGTCGGGCGAACCAAGCGCAGTATTTGATGAGCCTTCGTGAGCTGACTCTGTGTCACTGAACAGTGTTAATTTTTGTGTTGTTTTTATAGCTTCCAAACACTGAAATACCATGTACAAATTAGATTTTTTTTTATTTAAATAAAGTTCAATTCCAGTTTTACCTCCATAACCATATCTTTGCGATCAAAAAAGGTTTCAAGATGTTCTTGAACCTCGAGCACACTATATCGTAATGATTCCGACAGACGTGGTGTGGTTGCAAAACTTTGATTGTACCAAATGCGTGGCGGTTCCTCTTTTGTTGATAGTAAATCGGAGAGAATAGATATTCGTTGGCCAAGTTGCGTACCGGTTCCCGTGAAATATTTCAATGCATTTTTTGCTATAGTTATTGATTTCTGCGTTAATTCCTGCAATTAAAACAAACATTTTGTCGTCACCGAATTGTTTCTTTTTCAAATATCACAAGTATAAAGTGAGTGTAATTTTTTCTTTTGCTGAAATATCACGTACCTTAACAACACGATACAATTGCATAAGTAAATCGGGTGCATAATTTGCGGCTGGATTGAACAGCAAAGCTTCAATATTTCGGCGCCATTGGTCCTCGGCTTCATCTCGTATCGGCACTCGGTAGGATATCATACCTAAAGTGAAAAGAAAAAAAAATTCATGAAAATATACGATATAGGAGGATGACTCAAAATATATCAAACCTGTCATGTGTGGTGATGCGTTGCATGGCGTTATTTCACCTAGATCACCGGCACTTGAACCACTTGTATCACTTCGTGAGACTGAATCACGTCTAAAAAAATTGACAAAACAAATTAATTTTCATCTCAATTCTTATTTTAAGTCAAAATTGATGAATGTCCATTAGAAAAATACGGAGAAAATCCACTGAATCTGTTACCTTTGTCGACGTTCGCGTATGCTGAGTGAAGTCGGTGGACCACTATGATATTGAGACTTGATGAAAATCGCTTTCTGATATTCATCGAGAGGAGATTCAGATTCCACATCGTCATCGGACGAATCTTCTGGATTGTGTCGAGTCTGTTGACGATTAATTTGTATTTATTAACACGAAAAATAAAAGATCAATAACATTTCACTTACCCGTCGTTTATTAAGAATTGGTGTTTTTTCGCTTAAGCTCTCTTCCATAACGGAATGTCCTTTGGAACCGGTTATTGGTTCACTGTCACCGTCGGACAGCGGTCGACGACGAACACCCCAATTGAAATTATCGGTTGATTCACCTTCAATGCTCTCACTTTCATATTCCAAAAAGTCAAAGTCTTTGAAAACACCAAAATCGGGTTGACCATCATCTCGACGTGAGCCACCACTTAAATCTTGTTGTGCACCACTTGTCTCTTCGGTACTTGAAGCGGCTGACGACTGTCGTTCCATCAAATCGGACGATTGGCTAAATATAACCTGCAAAAACAAACACAAATTTCGTTATTTTATTTATTTACGATTAAAATCATTGAGCCATGTTGAAGAAAAATGAAAGAAAACATTTTTTTTTTGTGTGAGAGTACTTTTGTGCTTGAATCAAGTAATGACAAAAAAAGAAAATCATACAAACAATTTTTTGTGAATTTCGTGCAGAGAAGAGCTTAAAAATTGTGTATTTCGAAATAGTTAATGAATTATTGGTGAATATTTAAACTGTAAAATACTTGCAATGAGAATATATTCTATCAAAATTCATAACATATCTATTTTTTGGAATAATGTTTGTACATTAGTATGCGATTTAGGTAAGAAAAAACAAACAAACTAAAATAATAAGATAACGGTCTACTTGTGATGTGAAATGACTATTATATCGTGTTCGTAAGAATGTAAATTGAGATGAAACGAAAAAATAAAAAAACAAAACACAAAATAGAATAACTTAAGTGGCAAGAACTTAAGTTGCAAGTATAAAAACTGTATTTGAAAGTCTTGTGCGGAGAGATGAAATATAATGTTCTGTTTACCTTTGAATTGGAACAAACCGAGCTTATGAAATCATCCTTTTTTTTATTCAAATTTTTTAACAAAAATTTCAATCAAAGAAAAAAGAAATCAAAAATTAATGCCTTGCAAAAATAAACATTCCGAATATAAGAGTTGTATGAATATTCATGCTTGGACACGAACATACAATAACATTCTTATTTTAAAGACTATAGCATCCCTTAATTCAAATTCTATTGGTTATACTTGGTATTCAAAAAACAAATCATTTCTCTCAATTTGGGATTAATTTGTGTAAAAATGTATGGTGCATACACAAAATTCGTTTTTTCAAGCAATTCATTTCAAACATACAGTATACACGCAGAATGATTTTGGTATTACTTTCGAAAAGACAAATAGAGATTCAAACAAAAACAATCGAAAAATGAAAACATTACATACCGATGGACTCTTGGGTAAACCGACAGCCCGTTGTCCGCATGTCGTCAATAAATTAACAAGACATTCTCGAACACGGGACTGTGATAACCATGGTCGTTTCCATCCGCTCAATGGTGCTGTGTCGGCTGGTGATAAGCTTGCACTTCGTCTTGGCGAATTTGGCGTTCCACCTATATTGTGATTCAAATCGACCGCTTGGCTATTATTACGGTTTATATTTTGCGTTGAACCAGTTTCCGATTTCAAGAGAATGCGTCGTCCAATTAATGGAGTTTGAGCAACATCAAATGTAAAGTCCATCGTACGACCAGCCAGTTCCTGCACATTAAAAACAATATTTATTTGTTTAGAAAATGAAATTAATAAAAAAAAGAAAAAAGATGCAAACCTTCTTGCAAAACACTTCAGAATCACTGAAACTTCCATAATAAAGATGTGATGTTCCCGGTGAACCTTGTGGCACCACTTGCAATGTTGAACTTCTTGTTACGACCAATTTCAAAATTTTTAAGGCATCTTTCCAGTATGAGTTCTAAAAAGTTGAAGTAAAAAGTGAATAAATATTACTCGATTCGAGTGTTACGTGGCTGATTTCAATATTCTTACATCCAGATATTTTGCAATCACTCGAATCAAATCGGATGAAATTGGTTGCGCATGTGACGATGATAAATCGATGTAATGCAACATACAATGTATAATGTTTAAAACAGGCACTTGTACTTGTTGCATGCCCTTTTCGAGAACTTCTACCAAAAACGCCAACATATGAAGACCTGAACCAAATCACAATAAACATTTGTTTCCATTGTTAATCAATGCAAAAAAAAGAGAAAGATTTATTAAATAAGCAAAAAGCAAATTCTTACCCATGTGAGCGTATGTATCGTATAGATATTTGACAACGCATTTTGTCCATTGAAATGATTCTTTGCTAAACGTTTTTCGGCTGTACAGTGTCATAACGGTGCCTAAATTCTCTAGTTTAGCGCCAAGTTCCGATGATACTTGTGCAATATTTTCAGCACTGCGGACACACACTTCATTGGCATCCTCATAGTGTAAAAGCATGTATGGTAATAGAGCAATAACATTCATTGGAAATGCACAGCTTTGCGTTGGATCGCATACGGGCAAACAAAGCAACGGTGGCATTTGTGATAACAACGAAATTGTTTGTTCGTATGTTACAGAGTGTGTACAACCTTTCAGTAAAAGTGCATGAACACCGGGATAACCAGTCCATTTTAATTGTTGTTGTAATTTTTCCACTTTGTCACGTGCATCTGGCCGATCCAATGGTAGTCGATGTAATACTCTAGATAATAAACGTAACGCTAACAAAAATTCATGCTCATAATCACTTTCCAGCAACGACACCGCCAACCAAAATAATTGCGCCAATATCGTCATTTTATCATCCTATCGGATAAACCATTTATATTCAAATTAAAAACTTTTATTTAAGGAACGAATTGGAAATAGTAAACAATCATTATGTAAATTCGCCTGGCAACAGCCATGCCGTAACGAATGAATGATATTCATGTAACATTCGTTACAAATTAATATTGCAAAAGAAAAATGTCAACAGATAGCAGAAAGTGAATGAGTTTGCAAACAAAATTAATATTTATTTTTCAATTTTTTAAGTTGAGACCTATAATTTACCTGTGTTGCCGTGTCACCGAGCAATTTCAAACTTTGCGCACTACGTGAACGAGATAACGATGAACCAAACTTTGCTGCCGAGCTTCTCTCAAGCTCCAGAGCGGCTGCACGATTTCTCAACTCAACTAAATGAAAATTGAAAAAAAGTTAGAATCGAAGAATTGACCATGCAATCAACCAAAATCTCACCTTGTTTGTCACATGGTGAACTGGACACTTTGCGTGTACAGTATGACACTGAATAACTGGTACTCCTTGTGTGACCGGATGAGTTAATGTGGTTTTGAGTTTGTTGTATGATGCCCGACGGTGACTTTTTTCCACCAGCCGTAACATTTACGCCGTCTTTATTATTTAAATTTGGTGTACTTTTAAAAATGTCCTTCATTACATCCAACGGACGGAAGTCCGAATCTAAACTATCAACAGCCGCTTCAAGTGTTAAAAGTAATTCGGTCACATAGCCTTGCATATCTTCACCTTGTTCCGCCACGGTTTCAACCAAACGTGATAAAATATCGGACAACATTCGTGAATTTATAGGAACATTCAATGCGCGAAACACTTGCAAACTTCGTCCGGCATAATGACGCGATGAACAGCTCAAGCCCAATTGAAGGGCTGTTTGTGCCCAACGTTCTGATATTCTTGCTTGTGAATAACTATCTGAATAAACTTTAACAATGTGATGTAAAAAGCATGTCAACTGTTCGGCCGATTTTACGGTCCACACTTTGGCCGTTATATCTTCGTAGTTCCACAATGGTTGCGAAATTTCTTGTGACAAAAAATTGATGAGATCTTTAATCACTTGCGGTGAATGCACTGTTGTATTTGTTATTGTCTCTTCTGGTGTATAATGCACAGTTGGTGTGTCCGTATTCGAATCATTTGTTGTTGTGCCAGCATTTGGCGACGCATTGTGATTTTCCTTTTGAACGATCGTTGTTACCGTGGAGGTTGGCGTTATTGAATTCGATGTTGAATGTGCTATAGCATTCGAATTTGTGCTATACAAATATGCATCGTATTCGGCATCTGGTTCTGGAATTTGAAAAAAACAAAAATTCAAACGTGTTCATGGACAAAAAGACCAACTGATGCGACGACATAATAAGAAATTCGACTTACCAGTGAAATTATGATGTGATACTGACAATGTTGGAATTGGCAAACCTAAGCCCATTTTCGATGTTTGCGCATTCAACAATATCTTTGCCACATTCAAATGATCATTGTGTTCGGCTAAAACAACCAATAAATTTAAAAGTAATTGCTTGCAATGATCACGTACAATTGGTCGAGTGTGATCCAATCCCAAAAATAGAATATGCAACATAATCGGTATATGAAGTGTCCAATCGATTTCGGGGATACCATCAATAATAATATCAGTCAAAAGCATTACAGCCACATTACATCTATTTAACAACAAAATGGTTTTTTCATTAATATAAGCACATTTAGGAGTGCAAAAGAAGCACACAACTTGCAACAATTACCTATGGAAACCGCTTATTGGCAAGCTTATATCAGGTAAAAATTCGGTAAGTTGTGCAAAATAACCGCCATATTCAGGCATTGGCAGCGGATGGGGTACGACTGGTGGATCAGTGTTGCGTAAATCAAACGATTCTTCGGCCCGAAGTTCTGGTTCATTACTGATCATATCTTCTGGTCTCGGCAAAATTGATGGGCCAGACAAAGCACGAATCTTATCACTTCCACGCGGTGGTCGATAATTTGTTGAAAATGCACGTAAACCACTATCCGATTTGCAAGTTCTAAAAAAATAATTAAATTAATTAATTATTAAAATATTCAAAAAGTGTGCATTGTCATACCCAGTTTTGATTGGATCCTCTCCACTGTGCCTCTTCGTATGAATCGTTCCTTTTTCAACAGCCAAATCTGGCATGCGTGAATCATTTGCACCGGTCGTTGGTCCTATTTTATTTATAAATACAATCAACATTTTGTAAATCGATTTGAATTTTAGTCAAATGTAATTACCATCGGAATGGCTTGATGCCTTTCGCATGCTGGTCAATCGATAAAATGGTGGCGTTTCGGTTCGTTCAATTAGACAATTGAGTGTTTCAACGGTTTGAAGTTCGGTCATAAGTTCATCTAATAATCGATTGGGACATGCTCGTGCCAGATACAAAGCCACACGTTTTGCCTACAACATAAATACCAAAAATATCGCATCAAATTGCGAAAATATGTTTTTCTTTAAATGTTGTTCAACTTACGAATGGTAGCAATTCATTTGGTGCCATCCCAGAAATGATCACCAAATATCGTAGAATAACTTTTAAATTATTTGGCCAAAATTGACAAAGATTTCCCCATATTTCTTCGATTTCTCGTGTATGCGAGTACGAATACTGTTTTGAATAAAATAAAAAATCAATTTAACTTATGAAAAATGTATTGATTTGTATTTCAAAATACGAACCTTTGTTGTAATATAGAACAAATTGTTCAATATCATTTCGGTGGCTTCAGTAGACCCGGAACCATCTCGTTTGGAGCGTGAATTTGAATCCGGATAAAACTGAAGAGAAATTTATACAATTTATGCTTTTTATATTATTCATGATCAAATTCGTTTATTTACCATAATGTATGATAAAGGTGTGGCTGGTGTTACATTCGCAGCCACCAATTCCATATTTTCGAGCCATGGCAGCAAACATTGCAATAAAAGTGATCGAATTTCTGGACGTGCCGTTTGAAAACGATGAGTTATTTCTACGGTGAAGAGATAAATTTGAAATAGATTAGTAAATTAGTTTGTTTTTTACTCATTGTCAGTAAGTTTCAATGAAACAGCTGTCAGTTTGGAAGCAAAAAAATCAAGTTTCTTAACATAATAACATGCATCATTGAGCAAGATGTTCATACAAAAAGCGTATCGACCAGTTGCAGTTTTATTTTGATAAATTTCTTCAGGTCACGCATATTTTAGCCGATTCATATGTTTACTATTAAAAATGTTTGCAATGGAAAAAACCCGACCGATATTCAGTTTGATGTCATGTGATGCTTTCGAGTTGCTAATGTGAAGGCAATGATCTATGCAATATATATATTATATATGCCACTTCTAATATTAGTATCTATATTATATTCAATATTATTTCACACAACTTTTTCCATTTTTCTTTTCATCAATTTCGATACTATTTATTTTTAGCTTAAACTTGATGCTTCAACGTTGAACTTCGCGTTGCGGATTAATTTCATCTTCATTATAAACCATTGTGACAAACAAACAAATAAACAAAACCGTGCGTTTTTTTATTTGATGGGTCAACAGTAAACTGGTTAACTTAGGTTTTAAAAACCCTAGCTCCAGTGTACGAGTTTTTTCACGTGTATGTATGTTTTTGATAATAATGTTCTCTAGTACTTGGGGGGCTTTTCGGGTATCAATGGAATTGCTACTTAGTGTCCCTGACATAGACAAATACAATGCGTACTTTTTTGTGATAATAGAAAGAGAGAGCAAGAGAAAGAGAGAGAGAGAGTGAGGAGATATCGGTGAAACAGCTGTTTTGATAAAAAAAAAGGTTGTACGTTAGTACCGAAACTGATATTGATAATGAAATACGCGCCACTTTTGAATATAAAACATTCTCCACGATGACGTCTGATAGTGTATTCGTTTTGAATGTAATCAAGATAATAGGATCGATTTCTGTGAATGAAATTATTTAGTTGTGTTGAAATATGTATATCTGCCGATACGTACGCACATGGTAATATGTGTTTGAGTAAGTGAGTAAGCCAAAAAGTGAGAGTGAACGAAAAATGTTCAGAACCGTGAATATTCAGAAGCACAGAGAGAGAAAGAGAGAGAGAAGAGCGGTGTCAATGTACAAACGTCATCGCAACTATACATATTAAAAACCAAAGGCATCATTGACAATGTACTGTGTGTTTGGGTATATGTGACAGTGGGATTGATTTGGCGCAGGCGCTCTTATCAATCTCTCACGTGAATTACAATAATACTACATGAAGATGATAGAGCGAATATTTTGCACATATTGATGAGAGTTTTGAGTGACAAAAACACCAAGTCATATGAAAAACGTAGCCAATTTTAATGTTTTTTTTACTCATAGTCTATCTGTTTCGTCTATTATTTGCTTCTGCCGTTAAAATTCTCAGCAAGATAGGAGAAATAAACAAAACGAAACAACCACGAGAATATCATATCGAAGCGGATAAGAAAATACGGGCACATATTCACGAACGCACGTACACACAACATCTGAGTACATATATAGGTTGAGTGCAGTTTCATACGAAAACAACGGTATTCAATGAAGCGATCCGGCGTCCAAAATTGTTTTGACCTTATTTCGTCCTTAGAATGACATTTTACATACAACGTTCGTTTTGTGTACGTTTTCTTTACTCTTTTTTTCTCTTCGTTTCTTGAATTTATTTGCGGTATTTTATTTTTATAATTTGATTTGTGTGTGAAATGTGTACCATTATTGCTTGGACCAAGATGAACAAATACAAAGACGTTAATTTACATTTTGATGCTGTTTGTTTTTGGTATAACGAAATAACATTCCATTTGGTGAAATTTCATTGGTGAAAGAAATTGTAATTTTTCAGTTGTGTAATTTGAGCACATAGAATTATTTGAATTTGAAGCGATGAAAAACAAAAGAAAAAAAAACAAAAACCAATACAATTTATGAGATAAAGTGGCAAGAAACCGTGTGATTCAATGATTATTTATAGAAAATAAATGTGAAGAGGGAAAAATAAGCAATTGTCATAAATATAATTTTGCCAATTTTGCTGCAACATTTATTATTTTACGCAATATTATTATCTATTGTTTATTGTGTGAATTGTAAATCAGCACTAGGGTGCCAATGTGTGTATTTCGGGTGTCAACCGATTCATTTCTGTTTATCATTTGCGAATGATAGATAATGAAGTGCGCATATTTACCATACATACAATTCAGCCATATAGTCATTGCTTATAAACAAAATACCAAGAATGATGTTTTCCATTGAAGTGATTTCTTGATATTGGTTGTAAACTGTGCTGTAATGACTTCTTCAATTTTTCGTCGTCATACATTATTGTTTGGCAAGTGCACTTAGTTTTATCTCATTTTGTTCGTTTAGTTCGAATCTCTCTTTTTGCTATGAGTGAACAACGACACTACAGCATCATATATATATATTCATTCAAATTGTTTGCTTTTGATCATCTTCGAATTTTTTGTTTGCGATTGATGTAATTGTCAGCATATAGAGCCAGAACAGAGAAAGCATATAGAAAGAAGATCAAAAGCTCATTTGAATTATAATTCGTACGAACGAGTTGAAAGAAACGACAGAACGAACGAATTCACTTAAAAAAAATCAAAACACAAAAAAGAAGAACATTGACGAAGTAACAAAACACAGAGTGTGACACTTATAACATTCTCAACACTAAATGTAATTTCTTACAAAATTGCAGTCATTTGATTTACGAGATTAACGGCACATTTTTTCTCTTCTTCTTCTTTTTTCATTGAGAATGCTATACAATTTAAAAATAAAAATTCAAAATAAACTGTAAAACCGTTTTCAAGTAGAACATGAAAAAAAAAAAAAAACAATTCGACTGATACTTGTTGTTTTAAAGAAAACACATTTTTAATCGTTATCGTTTGGTTTTTCTCTTTGATTTCTATGCTAAGTTCAATTCAAGCCCAGTCAATTTATTGCATTTCACAGCATCTGTCATTCATATGACCGCTTAAAGAGAGTTTTACTTTTAAATATATTGACTTTAATGAACGACCGAAAAATAGTGAATTCAAAGCAAAGAAATAAGGAAACGCCCGAAAAAGGAGTCGAACAAGTGAATAAAATCACAAAAATGATATATGTACATACATAAAGAAGACAAAAAAAGAACGTTATGCAAAGTATATTTTTTCCAAGAATTGTGAAAATAAAAAAATTGGCTGATCAAAGACAATTGAACAAGATATTGCAACCAAAGTGAGTGATATGCATAAAAACCACGACCGAAAACCAAGAGATTTACGTTACCAATTTTGTTCGATTCAAATGAAGCCATATAAGATTGACAACAAATTGGACAAATGAGAACAATCAGCAACTGGAATAAGTATGAGAGCAAAACAAAAATAAGATGCAAATAGCAACAAATGTTATGATAAACGAATTGATTTCACACAGCCAAACAAACATAATTGTAAAACAAACAATTGACATTCACAAGTAACAATCAGTTTTTGCAGCAAAGGACAAATTCGAATTCCAACAATATTTTGGTTGTCTTCTTGTTGTTTTCTTCTTTTTTTTCTTTTTCCTCCTTCTTCTTCTCCTTCTGTTTTGTTCATAGTTGTCGTTGTCATTTTCTGTGTGCTACATTGAATTGATTATCATCTTAGAAAACAAACGAATTTGGGATTCGTAATAATCAACCGAAAGGAACGTTATCGACGAATAATCTTACGACTCGACTGACATTAGAATTAGTTGTATTCGGTCCAAGTTTACGGTTGCAGTTCACAAAGTGATTTATATAAACACATATATAAATATTTTTAGAAGAAAAAAAACGGTAAGTGCTATTCATCTCGATCATTCGTAATTGATTCTATTTGATGTACATTGGTTATGCGATGTGCATCTACGACGGAATTTCATCACGATACTCATAATCAAACATTTTATTATAGTCAGGTGATATTTCGTTGAATTTTGTGAAATTGTTAAGAGGATACGGAGAATTTCGGTGAGTTTCATCTCATCGTGTGTTTGTATAGTATATATTCGGTTTTTGCGCAACAAACTGAAAATTCAGCATATTATATTTTTGGTTTTCTACGACTTATCATTTGCATTCCACACAGTGCAAAACAAGCAGAAAAAAAATGAAAAGAAAAGAATAAACTGAGATTGCATCCAAAGTTATAAGATGGATTTTCATTAATTTTTGCCTGATTTTTGTGTGTGAGTGTATGTGATTTTTTTTTTGCATTCTACTTTATTTTTCCCATAACGGAATGGGAAGTTATCGTGGTGTAAAATGAAGAAAGGGAGAGAGAGGGGGAGAGGTTGTCAGAGAGAAAAATAGTATGCGTGAGATACGCGATGAAAACGAAAGTAAATTCCCTAAGCTATTTTCCGCAAGCCAACATATATATATATCTATCTTCATGCTGATATAGATTATATATATATAAAATATGTGAGATTAAGTTGAGCTACAATATTGTGTGCATGTAACAATCAATAAATGCTCTTTCGTACGTTTGCACACAATTGCCATTACGTTGTGTATGCGATGCGACTTTTTGTGCACATTTCCCAATAGCGTTCAATACATAGAGCAGATGAATGTTGATTGTTATGCCGATTTGACTTGGTGATGATCTCTTTGTATGGACGAAAAGCCGCAATAGCAATAGCAATAACATTTGAAGCACTAAGGCTGCATGCTTTTATACACGACACAATGACGACATTTAACGTGATCGTTGCATGTATGATTACGCGATTGTCGGCGGTACAGGATTTTCGGTTTTCCTCTTTCGTCTCCGTTTGGCTTCTGTCTCGAATCGAACACACTTTTCCCGATGTGAAAAGTAAATAATAAACGTTATAATAATAGCTACACATTCAAAATCTATCTCAGATGCGTTCAGGAGAAGCTTGTAAACCGATTTGTTTTGTGAGACAGTGGCCAAGTTAGTGATTTTTTCATTGAGACGTAATTTCTGACAATCGCTTTAGTATGATTCACTTTTTTTTTCCAGACATTTGAAAATGTTAATCGACGACTATTTTTGACTACTTCATCATCATCAAAATATAAATAAACGACTTCAATGATTATCTAATAAAATCGAATGTAATAATATATATATATATATTTATTTGTGTCGTTGTTTTGCATTGATAGATTCTTACGGGGAAAAAAGGAAACTACATGAATCATTCAAGTAATCGTAGTAGCAGTACAGAGCGGCCTTGTGGATTAACGGCGTTGCTGCCTTTAGGAATGTCTTGTAGAGGTCGTGCGGAAGCATTTGCTCGAAGCCTTCAATCACGTCTTCGTACTCTAGGAACACAGGTAGATAATTACTAAACAATCATTGACTTTTCATTTATAGTTCAAATCGATTTGATTCGATTGAAATTGATCGCAATTATAACGTGTGACTTTTTTTCTCTCTCTCTTTCACTCTTGTTTTCTGTTTTTGTGACACACAGTCCAACGAATCAACACCGATCGCATCAGGAAATGCGGGCAATGAAAATACTTGGCTAAATTCGACATCATATACACAAGCTTCGTCAAATGTAACAAATCATCAACCAGTATCGACCGGCAATGGATTGCACGATGCAGCTGATTCGTATTTTGATTTCGATATACCCGGCAGTCCGGTGGACGAAAGTGAATATGCACGTTTGATAAATACATCGACTACATCAACGGCAACACCACAAGAGAATGCATCCGAATCGGGTTATGTTTGTGCATCACCAATTTCGTCAGTCGAAAACAATGTGGTTAACGAACACAGTGATAGTTCGTCCACCGATGAACCATTTTTCGATCCGGAATGTTCCGATAGTGAACAGCGATCGTTTTCGCTTAGTTGCGATTATTATGATTGTGAAGAATCAAAGAAAGAAACAAATGCTAACAAATTATCAACGCATCAAAAAGAATCCGAACAACAGCAACAGCAGCAGCAGCAGCAACAGCAACACGACCACAATGGTTTCAATGGCAATACAAATACCGATAATCTTCCAATATTTCAAAATACATCTATAAATTTACCGGACACTACCTCAAAATCATTTCATAATCTTGACAATGATGTGGATGTAACTGATTTTTTTGCATCAATGCCAAAATTCGAAAGCGATTCAAATGGCAGCGAACATATCATCACATCAAATGACAAAGAGCTTGATAATCATGTGGCCATTGAAGTCGATAGCACAAATAGTATTAGTACAAATGAAATAGTTCAGTCAATTGCCAGCAATGATGTCCAAGAGATACCAAAATATGATCCAAACAGAAAGAAAGAAACGCTCAGCGTAGAAAATTTTGTTAACGGTGGCAGCCATTTATCTGAAGATGATGAAGAGCCATTGCCACGTCCGGATCGTTTTCGTCGTTCATCATCATTGAAAACGGGAAAAACACCACCCGGAACGCCAGGTCGCAAGAAAATTGTACGCTTTGCTGATGTATTGGGTCTAGATTTGGCTGATGTGCGTACATTTTTAGATGAAATACCAAAAGTACCAAAATCGGCATTCGACGAACTAATAATTCCACCCGAACCGCTAATTTCGTTGGGTCAACGTTTGGATAAAATTATTGTGCCACTATTTCAGCAACCGGGCGCATCGCCAAATTTTTTGGATGTCGTTCAAATTCAAAACGTTGCACTTGAAAATGCGGCCGTTACCGATCCGATTTGCCTTACCATAACCGGAGTTGTACGCGTCCGAAATTTGGACTTCCATAAATCGGTACATGTTCGTTATTCATTGGATGCATGGAAAAGCTATTCTGATCTACAGGCAGAATATGTGTCCAATTCATGTGATGGTTTTTCGGATAAATTTACATTCACCGTTTTCGGTAATTCAATGGAAATTGGCCAACGCATTGAAATTGCAATTCGATTTTCATGCAAAGGTGAACAATTTTGGGACAGTAATCACGGTGTTAATTATTGTTTTCAATGTATGCCGGCAACAACACCACAATTGCAAACAACCAACAATAGCGAAAATCATCATCCACATCAGGTCCACCTACACGATTCATGGTGTGGCTCATCATTTTACTAATACATAAACACAAATAACTCGTACACAATCTTAAAGAGATTAAACACGGCCCACGAACAGAGAAAGCTTTCTTAACTTTTTTTCGCATTGCATACGATTTTAATTCATGACATCGACTTAGACAAAAAGTGTGTGTATGCGTGTGTGAGAGAGAGAGGGAAAAGGAACAAAGAAATTTTAAATATACACAATATGCAGGATACAACAGTGATGACACAATCGAAAGATATTAAAAACAAAGAGAGCTGAGCTCATTTTAAAGAGAAACGAATGAAAAATATATATAAAAAAGTAAAAAATGTTATATGGCTGGAATGTTTAAAACTAGCCATTTTAAATATAACAGTAATTAAAAGAAACAGATACACTTATGATTCTAGTTTTTTTTTGAAGCGTATATGCATATATGCATACATGTTATAGTCATATGTCTATTGGAGTAGTGAATACAGTCCGTTAACAAATTAAATAGCAAGTGTTGCGAATAATATAACAGTCAATTAGTTTAGGCTCCTGTTTTCGTATCGTGAATGTCATCAGAGCATTTGAAGTGAACGTGTGTGTGCATCTGTGAAAGTCAATAACTGGCAATGGCTGCTATAATATACACACATATTTACGTAGAAACTTTCATGATCTTTCGATACATAATCATTTTTGATTTGACATCATTTCATGATAGTAGGTAATATTCAAACAATGAATTGACACATTTATAATGTTGCGAATTATGGACCCAAGAAATTGAAGTGGAAAAAATGTTTTAAAAAAAAACAGGATATAAACGATAAATTCTTTAAAAATATCCATATAAATTATGGAATGTAGCATCGAATGATGATTTGTAGGATGTACAGATTGAAATCTAAATATATATATTTTAGTAAACAAATTTACAAATTATGGGAGATATCAAAAATTAATTTGACTATAAAACAGAGGAATAACAACATACAAACAAAAGAAAAACATTAAAAAGTTGAAATGATATTGTTACTATTGCCAAAAATAAAATAAAAACAACCTGAATAAATAACAGTGGTCTTTGTCCTTTGTTTAATCTTTCAGACATATATACTAATACATTTCTAACGATTGCGAAGACAGGCAGACAGAATCGCCATGAATTGAAGTATCTACCTTTGATATGATTACAACGACCTTTCTATTTAAATAAATTATTTATATTCAAAATTAAGCGATTATCAGACATTATTTTGAGATATTTTCAGCCAGCCGAATCAACTCAGGGAGCTTACGTCAGACGCTGAAACGGAGTGAAAACAATGGAAGTGATTGTTATAACGATTGTAGCATTATAAGTTTTTTTATAACCATAACAAGCTTCCTGAGCAGCTGAATCAGCTACGTGAAAAAATATAATGAGGCAAAATGACACACTTAAGACACTGGAAAGCAATGATTTTGATTAATTTCTGTTTGCTTTTGTGGAAAAAATTTTTGAAACAAACTATGATTATCTTTGATGAAAATACGATTTTTTTTTCAAGCATGTATTTTAATAATCTCAGCAAAATAGCTCCGAACCCTTAAGATTAGACAGTTAATGAAATGTATAGGGATAAGACTGTCAAAGATTGCTTTGAGTATCATGACACCCGGGTAGATCAGAAAAAATGCGATTTAAAATTAGTAAGGTACAACAATTTCAAGGTAAGTTTCGTGGAGTTTAAATGATGATATTTTACAGTTGATTTATGATCAACATATGAAAAAGGAGGTAGTCATTTTCATTGATTATTGTCGTACATTTAATGAAAAATGATGTCAATTGAAACAATTTGAAACTTTCTAATGACATACCTGAAAATATTGGCATCGTTATTTCTGGCCGAAGTTGAGCCATTTGCTTGGACAAATACATTTGTGTTCGACAATAAGCTGTGCTGAGGATTGCATCGAGTGTTCCGATCTTATCGTCATCTGTAAAGAATAGTTTGAATTGTTATTTATTTATTTAGTTAGTTTGCAATTATATTTTGCATCAAATGCTTAAATTTGTTGAAACTTGCTAGTCTCTTTCGTCTCTTCACATATCAAAATCTTTTGACATATCAAAATGAATCCATATAGATTATTATTGTATTGAATTTTGAATTTTGAATACCACTTGTACGCGCTCAATTGTTAGTATTTGGTTTTTAAAAAATAATTAAATTTCACTAATTAAAAAAAATGGAAATATTTTAGGTTGGAGAATTTTTGGTCATTTATATGGCGCGTGTCCTACGGGAAAATGTAAATAATCTCTCTATTCTTAGATTCGTAACTATAGCGCCACATTACTTCGATGTATTTACAATTGCCTTCAATTTGTTGTCATCTTTTTTGAATACGTTTTGAAAAATAAAACAATTGAACAGTCAACTGTTGTAGAAGAAACGCCTAAGGAATAGATAACGAACGCAACAAAACATATAAATATTGAAAATTGATTTTCAAGTGATTTTCGTTTGTTTATATTTATTTTAACCAAAAACATTGGACATTTTGTTCCAAAAAAGTCTTAATTCCCTTAAAGAAGGACACGTGCTGAACATCTCATAAGACTTTCATTCTTAGTAAAAATGAACATGCAAAAATTGTACATATTGAGAGATAAAGAGACCCGATTCGATAAAATAATGTCAAGATTCATTGAAACTTTTTCTGCTCATCGATATTATTTGAAGTCATACTTGAGATGTAGATATTTTCCCGAAAATCCGTTATAAATGTGTGTTTCAAAAATGAAGGAGAATTGCGGAGCATTAACCACATACGTTCCAGTGAAAGGGGAGGAAGTTGGTTGCGTATGATTTTGTTGAAAGGGAGAATTTATTCAGCACATTTTTGCTGAATAACATTGAAAATGTTTCATTCACCGTTCATGTTTCATTCACCGTTCGTCGACATCGACTTCAACTACTCAACGTCAGTAGTGAGAGAGACTTCAACGAGTCAACAAATGAGCTCGCATTTTGATAAGTTGCCAAATGCGAAGAGACTCTATCGCACGTAAATGTTCGACACTGAGAAACACGAGAAAAAAAAACGATGATAAATGAATATTTTGAGAAGATGCTGAACATCTACGCATATAATGTTTTCAAACACATTTATTTGGTTTTGCGCGTCAAATAAAAGAACAGAAAAAAAGAAATGTCTTCGACTGAAAACCATACAATATTTATGTATGATGCTTATGAATGTAATCACTTATTTGGAATAAAATAACTTCCTAACACCACAAATGTTACATCAATTGCTTGACAGAACAAGGAGAGTACTTCAAAATTTAAATTTATGCAAACATTTTGCACGCTGCTTACTTCAAACATCCTATTAAGCTTTTATAAAAATGCTCATATTTTATTGAAGCTCAAAGCCCTACATGCAATCGGGGAGAACACAAAGTATAAAATTCGATGCAATAAAAAATAAACGAGTACACATTGGCAATAACATTGTAACACTTGATAAATTATTAATCGCAAATTATTGAGCATAAGAAACGAATGTTGATGTATTCGTTTTGATGTATAGTACAATTGAGCGAGTTGTCACTGCAATCAAAGCATTTAACATAACAAGAAAATTTTGCCAGGACTTTAATAGATTTGATGACAGTACGTATTAGAATGTGTTGGCCGTGAAAAAAATGTTGATGTTTTTTTTCGAAATCAGCAATCATTCGGAAGAAATATGGAAAACATTGAATTGCATCGAATCAAACATAAAATTAGAATTGTTGTGCCATAAAAAATAGAGAATTCTCTGCGGGCAAAATATCTTTTCACCACCAATCATTTTTGTCGATTTATTGATTCGAATCGACACAATTCCCGACTGTATTCAAGTGTACATTGTTGCTGGTGTTAAAGCAAATAAATATGTGTCATTTGGTTAACACATCTTATTTCTACATGCAGTATTCCCAAATCACCCATTTGGCACAGTTCAATGGGAATGAATATTGAATATCAAAATGCATTAAATGACAAAGCATACATAACTGTTATTTTTATTTAAAATCACGATTCTTCCTTATGAATATTGATGGTATATCCTGTTTTTTTTTTTCGAATTTGTGTCTGCATATGACACTGTATCGTTTGTCATTTCCGTCAAAATTCATTTTAGAAAGAAATGCGTGTGTATTTGTGCAAAAGTGTTTTGCAATACGAAAGGCTGTGTCATCAACATTAATCACCTGTTTCTTACCAAATATAATGAACACTGTAGCTAATCAATTGCGAACGTGTTTTGGAATCATCATCAGATATATTTTGTTCGAAAGTATCGTTCGTTAAAAAGAGAAGAGTTCTTTGGGATCGAGATCTTGATTAGAATTATATGTGATTTATTTAAGATTCAGTTTGAGTTCTTTTGGCGCATTGAGTTTTATACATACTTTGGGTTCTCTCTGTTCAGTATTTGTGATGATTATTGGTTTATTGTTTTTCTTATTGAGTCGTTATTGTCCAAAATACTGAACGAACTCCCGGCAGAATTATGAAGAGAATTTGCAAATACGTTGAAAACCGTTTAATGAGTGGAATTCATCTTATCAACGTGGTTTCATCGTCATATTATGTTAGATGTACTCATGACTTTACGTACAGTTTTTATTTGGCCACGTGTGTCCCTATGCTACGAAGTTATTTGATCACGGCTCAATATTTTACTTCTTCAGTTACGAATGATTCGATTATCCAAATTAAATATTTATTTTTTTCCTGCGCCATAGACATGGTTGATTGCATGTTGGATGATTTATCCAACTTTCCGTCCAAAACATTGATTGAGACATAAAAATGGCACGTGATTGAAAACAATGTACCAAATCCAACTTTACCGTTAAACAATTGTGGCCGTACGTGTATGTGTGTGGTCAGACAAAATGCAAAATAAATCTATATATATATATTTTTGTGGCAATGCCGTCGTACACCGCAACATCTAAAAAAGTTATGATATACACAATTATTTGTTATATTAAATACCGAGAAAAAAAAAACAAAGAGCACCGCATATACGTATTTAAATCCCTGTGTTCTGCATATCTAATATATTCAAATGCTAAGGGATAAAACTGATGATTGTGATGGTGGGCGTGAGCCAAATAGAATATAGTATCAATCGAATCAAATTGAATTTGAAATTGAATAGAAAAGAGCAGCCTGGAAAAAAGGAACTCACATAGTCTGCCAACTAGGATGAAATCATGCGAGAAAAACGTATTTACTTTGGGTGTATTCATTTTTCAAATGGTCTGAGTGCAAAATTGAGGAAATCGATTCGATAATTCAGTAAACATGGTTTTATGTTCAACGTCAAGCGAAAAAAAAACCATCAATTTTTCCTGTTTCTTATCGCCGATATTGGATATTCAAAACGAGAAAAATAACACAAAATGATAAAAGGTACGTTCCGCATAACCATCAACCGTCCAATCGCCCCAAACGACCGAAAAATAAACGAAAACACCGAAAACACATAGATTTGTGCGACGAACTTCAACAAACCAAGATCAATGCCAAAAGATTTGTTGACACATTAACAAAAATGATTTCTTTTTATCACTTCATTCAAGCGTTCATTATTCTTTGTGTGTGAGTGTGTGGCGTGCGTGTGGTGACGTGTGTTTGTGTACGCATTTTACGAATACTTCTGGTTCTCTTCATTCTCTGGCAATCAGATATCTTTATACAAATAGAAAAATTTCAGCATAAAAAATCCATTTCAACGCAATCGATATTTACTCAAATTGCTTTAGTTGTAGTCTCTTGAAGAATGTTGAAAATGAACAAAACTGATATATCTATGTTTCTGGGCTTGATCTTTCGCATTTTTTGCCAAATATTTGATTTTAATATATTCCGAAATTAAGTTAACGATGAATCGATCTATCAAGTTATACATTCGTTGAAATATGATAACTATTATCCGTGTTCGTTGAGTTTCAAATTAATGTAGATGCGTCATTTGCAGATGTCATACGCTGAAAGTGGCTTTCCACTTGATTTTGTCATTTTTTTTCTCTCACCCCAAATTTTTCTTCTACGGTTGTGTTTTCATTTCCTTTTCTTAGTAAAACATTTGGCCACACAGCGGTGTAGCTATTCATTGAAGAATAAAGAAAAATCAATTTGTACATATGATTCGTTTAAATGTTGGAAGAGCAGAATGTCATTTCCTCTCAACTCACAGTTTGAATAAATTGTGTAAAATTAAAATTGAAAAAAAAGAGACGACATTGTGATAACATGGTGATAACATTGTGATAAAAAAAGTGTCCATTCCACTGTGTGTCATCTCGATTTAAATTATTGACCATGCTTGATTTAGGATAAGAATCGTATTTATCTTGCTGTAAGCCACACATTGCGTCTTCAAGACAATGGAAGCTTAGGTGCGGTCATCGCTAAAATGTTGCCAGCAATCATTAGACATCACATTTCATTTTCTATTTAGGCATTCTATCAACTTATAGCGGTTTGATTTGCATCATGGATGAATGAATATCAATATTTGGATAAGTCATGCGTATACATTGGGGAATAATGGGTTTGTTTAAAGATCGTTTTGATTGCTCAATATTGTTTAGACACACCGAATCGGTGTAAAAGTTGAATGAATCTAGTTTGTTTACTTAAACACATTGCGCACATTCTACACTCAATATGCGAACACACCGAGGAACCAATATCCATGACCAACAGAGAAAGAGAGATAGTGGTGAAGTTAAAACTTTTGTACATTCTTTTTTTTTGTTTCTTTTGCTTCTTCTGCCCATCGTCTTTTCTTCCGACGAGTATTTTAAATAGGTTTCATCTTTTTCGTTTTTCTTTGCGTTTTATTTTTTAAACGCATGTGAGTGTAAACGTTAAAAATGATAAACTGATTTGATTGTGATAGTAAAAGCTTAGACGCGTGGAAAAAAGGAAATTCGATTGAAAAACAAAAAAATAAAAGCACTTACCCTTTTCGCCTTCACTTTGTAGCGGACCCACATTGCCGAAAAATCGTTTATCCAACACTTGAAGCAATTGTACAGCTGTTGTATGAACATCAACACGTGGACAACCGGTCATCAATAGAGTTATATTTATCACAGATGTATAGTGATCACATGGATATTCTCTGCAGGAAATGAAAAAAAAATAGGGAATAGAATACGCGTAATAATATTAAATGTGCACTCGTGTATGAACACAAAATTTGAAGTTATTAAAACCGTAATATTTATTACTTCATTAATTGAATCTATATGAATAAATTGATTGAAAAAATATCAGTATTTTATTTTATTTAAAAGGGATAATGTGAATATAATTCAGTCGCAATTTTCGTACATGAACTGACTTATGGCCTTAGTGCATGACGTTGCTAAAGAAAATGGAAAATCCTACAAAGTACAACAATTGAACTATGAACGAGTGTATTCGTGTTCAAAATATTAGGTTAAGGGCTCAAGAAAAATTATTTATTTTTTGGAAATCAACATTCTGTAAATGTACAATTGCTACTCTTTAAGGTAACATATCCTTAAGCAAGAGTGAAGCAATATATTTTATACTTGAAAGACTCTTACAAAGATCAGCAAGTTGTTTTTTAAGAGGCTTATATTTCATGACGCTATATGCCAAACACAGACAGATTTTAATCTGTACATTTTGTTTGATATCTACTTTTAAGTGTTCTCATTCATATTACGTTGAGGAACATATTTTGACATATGACAAAGTCATGAGTAGAATATTTGATAGGTTTCACACAATGTATTCGCCCAACATCGAATATCGAGCATTATATTGTACTACATGAACCGTGCATACATAATGTTACCAATTACAACATTGAATAACAATTTAAAAAGTCTTTTCATGTTCGTTGGATTTTTTTTTCATTGGCGCATCATCTATTTGATTGCCCAATTTAAATTTTAAAATAGATGTGTTTTTGAAAATATTGTACCTGATGCACAAAATATTTCTAGAAGGAATGAGTACCGATGAGCTTTTTTCGTACTTTTTTTTTCATTTTTGCATGAAGCTAATATCGAAAAGTATTTCAAAGCATAAAGAGAGAAAATTCATTTTTAATAGTATGGACCGTTCCGGTCTAATGGATAAGACAAAATAAATGTATGAAAGAAGACCGTATATTGATTTTGATTAAATAATGTATCCCATCTTCATGCGTTCGTCGAATGAGTTAAATTCATGGAAATTACTAGTAACATAGCCCATTGCTGTTTAAGAAAAAAGTCAATTCTTATGGAAATCCACGGTATTAAAAAATACTTATATCCGGATCTTAATGTGCACAAAATAAGTGTACAGCTTAGATTCGTCGATTAATAATTAAAACGTTGAAATGGTTTATGTGGCGACCACCAAAATGAAAATCTCTTCAGATAGCGTTAACTTTATATAAAGTTTTCAAATAATTTACCAATCTGTTAAACACAAAAAATACCCAAATTCAAGTTGCACAAACCGAGCTTAATTCAATCCGGAAAAATGGATATATCGCTTTCAAAGTTTAAGTATCATATGATACTTTTATATTAGTGAAACAAAAGATGAACATCAACCATAATTTTAATTTATGATAGTGCAATCGACTGGGTTTCCACTTGAATTTATTAGTTAAATTTATGTTTAGTTTGAATAAAATGTTCATGTGTTCTTTATGTTGAATTCCAGTATATTTTTTTCGCAGAAATGTAATATTTTACTTACCTTGCACTAAAAACTGTTGCTAATGACAAAAAGCATATGTCGGCTTCTCGTGGCTGCGCTGTGTAACATCTATCGATAACCCATTCCAATAAATGGCCGCTATCTGGATTCGATTCAAGTAATAGAACCACAATATCTCTGGCTAAATCATACACCTGCATTAAACGTAGACAATAAAAAGAATTCATAAACAAATAAAAAAAATCAACTAAATTAAAATCTCGATTATTAGTATGTACTTATTTGATAGCATATAAGTGTTTATAATGAATTTTAAAGTAATATCTTCAATGACACAATTTACCTTTTCGTCCATCGAAATCAATAGGGAATCGATCCAAGGATAAATGAGACCATCTTCTGTTAAATATTGTGGATCAAAACAGGGACCACAGCACAATAATACACTCATCGCCTACGAAAATAAATAAAATCAAATTACGAATATACGAAATGTCCACAAAAACAAAATAAACATACTTGAAGCGCACTAAATTGCAATTTCTCCTCTTCAATAGCAATGCTGCCCAAGCTTGTGTTCGTTCCACTTGCAATGGTTCCACTAGCCCCAAGACTGTTATTACCACTATTAGCACCTGCTGTGCTCGTTGCTCCATTGCTATTGCTTCCACTAATGCCACCATGTGAAAAACCAAGTGGTTTTGCTGTCGGTCCACTCCATGATGCAAACAAATTAAATAAATGCCGCTTCAAATCATTCGACAATAATGTTGTGCGACTTTCTACTGCTTTCACGATATATGTACATATCCAAAACAATAACAATAACAGAATGAAAATGAAAAACAATATGAATATTGTTATCTAAAATATCATTGAACACATAAAAACAGCAAGTGAATCGAACATCTAATATTCCCGTTATGGCTAACTATAAATAATTAAAACACTTGTTCGCATTCACAACTTGTTCGCATCAATATTGAATGACTTACATGAAAAGTTCTTAATCATTTTTCGAATGAAATCACAAAAATGAATTTTCACTTCGCGTATACTGGAGTTATCTTTGTCTGTTTCCATTTCAAGATAGAGCCGAGCACCGTCCATATACTCGACAAATGTTGGATGCAATGACATCGAATCACGTTCAATTACGCAAGGACTATATTTTGAAATCGATTAATGATTCATTTATAAGCGATATTTTATTTTCATTTTCAAATTAAACTAATTACACTTACCTCACGGCAAACGTTTGATTTTCAGCGATTTTCTCCAATACCTTAACCAATTGCAAACGTAATGCATCACGACGTCGTCTTCGTCGCATATTTTCTTGCTTTCGATCGACCGCTTCTCGTATGTAAATCACAAGCTCATCCATTAAATCTCTGATTTTATAAATGTAAGATGTTCAATGGTTTTCCTTTATGCATTTCATTTGAATTGGTTTTATAGTTTACAATAAACTTACTTTAGCGCATCATGGTTTATCATTCCAAGTGCATTTACAGCCGCATCACGAACATCGACCACTTCGCAACGCAATAATGGTACAACTAATTTATATAAAGCAACAGGTGATGGTGAAATTGCATTTGATTTATCACTTCGATCTGCATTTAATGAGTCTGGCGACGAGCTGCGGATTTTCACGCAATATTACGTGAAATGTGAAAAGATGAAAAGCATTTTCATTAGATCATTGTTGATAAATTCGTTACACATTTTCAAGGGTGTTTATATATGTTTTGTGTATTTAAGGTGTTTTAAATTGCCGTGAACCGACAAATTTGTGTAAACTTGTACTTTTTGATTGTGTTACATTGTTAGATAAACAAAATATTGTGTATACAGTAACACAGAAAAAAAAAATACGTCTACAACTTGAAAACGTTTCGAAAACTTTCAGTGTGTTTGTGTATGTGTGTGTACGTATTTTATTTTTGTTTATATTGCTTGAATTCTCCGTAAACATGTAAGAAGCTGTATTAAAATAATAATAATAATAATTTTAAATGTAAAAAAGCAAGGTATAAAGAATTTCCTGAATGGCAAACTCATTTCTTATTGTTACTTGTGCCAGAGAAATACAAAAAAAATATACATCTAATAACATGATATTTGACTTCTTATCTCATATTATTTACTTAGCTACTAAAAAAATCCAACTAGATTTTCTAGGGGAAAATATATCCGAAAATTCTTCAACGATTCGTAAATTGCACTTGAAGAGAAAAAAAAAAGCGCAAACAAATTTGTGAGGCAATACTTGTGTTTGCCTTTTTTCGTGCTCAGCGACTAAATTTCTGCTTTTTGAAAATAAAGTTGGTTAACTTGAAAAGCTGTTACATAAAAGTTCTAGAGAAATCATTGTGGCAAATGAAAAAGAAAACAAATAACTCACACTCGACTACATTCGAAAAGGACAGATAGAGAGGCGGAGGAAGATTCAATTTGAAGGTTTTTTCTTCTTTTCAAAAATAGGCACTTGTAAATCTTTTCCCATTGAAATGAAAGAAAAAAAAATAAGATAAAATAACAAAAGAAACAACACATAATGGTTTAGCATTATCAACAATGTAATTTCTGACTTGTCACTAGTTTGATTAGTCTTTCATCCAATAAATTGTATCAAAAGCACATTATTCTCTTACAAAACAACCAAATCATTACTATCTAACCATAAGAAATAAAATTGATGCATCGTTATATTGGAATATGTAACGAATGAAAAAGTGGCCATTTGGACCGAAATAGCAAACATTGCATCAATTTTATTTTATCGATACACTTTCTTTTTTTCCAATCAAAAGCAGAGATAACGAAAAAAAAACGAAACAACAACGATTTCGGGTGCAAACATGCTCAACAATGTGAAAAACCAAACAAATCTAAATCGAGCTTTTCAAAACAACTAATCGCATTGCACAAATAAAACGTTTAAAACTTATAAAAATTACGCATCAAACAAACAAACAAAAAACATAAAAAATGCCAGAAAAACAATCAACCGATTAAATGGAAAAATAATTGAAAATTTGCTATTCAATATCAAACTTTTCGTCCACATGTTTGTGTTGCTCTTGTTATGTTTTGTCCGTTTCATGTTTTGATTTTAATGCTTGTTTTTTGTTGTTGTTGTTGTAGCTATTGTTTTTTTTTTGTTCAAATTAATTCGTTTACCCAACGCGTTTTTGTCTAGCTTCTTTACGGCCGTAAGAAAGCGGTAATGTGAATCTCGTCACAAGCCCTTCCGGTCCAAAAACATTCGATGGTATATTATCCAAGGAATCGGAAAGCGAACGAGAGTCCGATTGTTCATGCATACTAAAACATAAATTTGTTCATTTATTTAAAATAAAATAAAATAAACAATTAAAAATGATAATAATAATAATAATGAGAAGAAGAAGAAGAAGAAGAAGAACGATTTGTAAAAGAAGAAAAAGGATAAAATTTAAATTGGAATAAAATTCGGTAACAATGTTATTATATTGTATGAGCGAATGAGAGTGCATTAACAAAAAGCAAAGGTGACAAGAATAAAGATGTTGATTTGAATAAATCGCAACATCATTGTATGAAAACTGAAATTGTCTTTTGCCAAATTGATGTATGAGTTTCAAGAGTTTTATGTTTATGTCTAATGCAACAGATAAAATGTAAGATTCAATTAAGTTTCAATTATCTATGAAGATGGATAAATAGGAGAAGAAAAAAATCAACAAATTCGCAATCATGTCTGTCTGTCGGTCTCCACACAATGTTTAATAAGCCAATTGATGTTGATTACATTTTGTGAATGTAAATTTATTCATCAGCATTTTGAATTATACAAAGCAAAATTTTGTGAAAAGCAAAAGAGACAGAGATAGAGACATGTATATATTTCAATTAATTACGCAAATTGTTTGGCTTCAGGACAATCCCCGCTCAATCATTTTCTCGAGTTACAAACGAAATGGAATTTCTACAAATTCGGTCGGCTATTTCTGCCACAACACCGTACGATTTCATAACTCTAATTTGACACCAAATTACCACAATTGACTGAAATATGAGACTAAATGTTACTGAAAAAAAAATACACTCCCTTAAAAATGGAGACACAAAAAAATGAACGTGCAAATGGAAAACAAAATTCATGATACACGAGACGTGAATTGAAACCAATAAAATCAAAGGAAAAACACAAATTATCATATAAAGGTAAAATCATGATGATTTCCAATCATTTACACCAATCGTTCCAGCCACCAATTACAATACAAATACGATCTCTACTACAAACACACATTTACACAAAACGCAAATAAATTAAGAAGAATCCTTCCATGGCAATGTAAACAACATGTTGTTGTCATGATAACAAATCTTTTCGAATTTGTTGAGAATAATTTCTGAATTATGTTTTTTTCTCTTTGTGATTTGAAATTGATTGTTTTCTTCGTTCAATGAAAATAATAACACAAAACACGACGTATGACATGAGTAAAGCGCGCAAATGCAACAAAAAATTTATGTTTATGTGTGGCGAAGGTGGTATTTTTGTTGCAATTAAAATGAACGTAACATACCTTAAGCTAAGATCGGGCGATGCACAACGAACGGCTATGCTTGGTATTGGTGGCACAAGACGCATTGCCATTATCACTTGGTTCTTCCATAGACGTGACAATGAATCACGTTGACTTTCTGATGGCGTCTTTTTTGGTGGTGCTGAACTCCGTAATAACGACGCACGATTATCATTCACCGGCCTAACGTCAGTAGAATTGAAACAAATAAAAATTTGTTGGTCATTGAATTATTTGGTATGAGATGATTTAATTTAAATAAACAATTATAATTGATATTGAATAGTTTATAACTGAGTTGGAAAATCTACACGATTTTAAAAAAAATGTAATTTACGTTGAATATGTATATTTGATAGCCAAAATTGAATAATCTACAAATTTTGTGTAGTAATCTACATACCAACCAAGGTTTATAATGATTAATATTTAATTAATGTGGATTGAATGTGCTTACGTTGGATCGATGACATTGAATAGTGTTGTGACGCGTTGATAACAAATAGGCCATGCTTGAGCCACAACGGCTGGACATTGCTGTAGTACACGCTCACGTTCCATGAAACCAAATAAACAAATTGCCCATGGATCACCAACTGATGTGGATGATGTTTGATTCAGATTCAATGTGCTTGTTGACGATTTTGTTGAATCTATCAATATTGAACAAAATTGGATGTAAATTTAATAAGTTGAAGAATTTTTACTAGGATTTAACTCGAATCAAAATTTTCCAAAAAAATTCATCATTTTCCCAACAATAAATTCCATTCTCAACACATACCCTCAAAATGTCCAGAAATCCAATGACCACCTGTACGATCTGCGATCCATTGCAAATCGATAACGTTTGCATTGAGTATGGCCATGCGGTCAACTTGCGGTAAGATGGGCAAACATTTGTCAAGCACCTGAATGAATTAAAATGATCCAAATTTATAAAGATATACTTGTGGAAAATAATTCCAATGCCACGCTTACCGCTGGGCAACATTTATCGATGACATCAATGAGAAATTGTTCAGTTTCCGGTAGGCCCAAGGCACGATATAGATTTTTAACTTCTTTTAAAATATTCACAGCCAATTTTCGTGGCAATGATCGACAATTGCACAGCATAACCAATGCAAAACCTTCGACATAATGCATGGTAGTTGTGAGAGGTTGATCGTTTTTCTTCGATGATGATTCAGATGCATTGATTGCCGTTGTTTGTGTGATGCTTGACACTCCGCTCGAATTTAAGCTAGACGCACCGCTTGAGTTTGAGTTAATTGTTGATGTTGGTTGGACCGATGATACGGTTGCTTGTGATATAGTCGTTGTGGCTGTACAGGTGGTGGCTGTTGTTGTTGGTTTAAGCAACGAACCAGTACTATAGTTGCCCAATGCACTGCGCCATATATTGATGAAAATCAACAATAAACGTGTACAATTGTCAACCAATTGTGGATACGTATCTAAAACATCACGAACAATGAATTGTGTGTAGCCATGTATAACGTCTTGTCGCCAATCGGGAAAATCAACCACAAGCGTTTGTAATGATTGATGTGCCAATGTTCGCAATTCTTCGTCCATGTGAACTGTTAAACGGGCCAACATATCAACCAATTCTTGCATTGTCATTGTATCGGGAATTAAACGTGGCACAGCTGCCACACATGTACGAAACAAATCAATGCGTGGCTTACGTTCACCGGTCAACATTTCAACAGGTTCTTTATTTAAATTCTGTGTACTTGTCAACATTAACGGGCGACCATAATGCACATCAAGTGCACGTAAAATTTCAACAAATACACGACGAACATGTGGAAAATAACTGGACATTCCAATACTTCTGGCCGTATCATCGGTTAACATTTTATTAATGTATGTTTTTTTCACTTTTAATGTATTTCCCGATGGTAAAACACCAACTGTACGTGGCATTGGTGGTTCACCGTCTTTTTGTTGTAACGAATCAGCAACCACTAAAAATGCTCGCAATCCAATGCTCATGCGTTCGGGTGTCATAATTATCTAAAAATAATTTGCGACACATTAAAACATTCAGAAAATTGTTCATAAATTGTTTTTATGTTTTGTTCATTCCATACCTTGATCGGCCGTCCAACCCAAAGTAATTCAAAGACAATCTCTTTCATTGCAAAATCAAGTCGCTCCTGAGCAATGAATTGGATAATTTTCACAAATATATTGAGCGGTGTATCACGTGGTACAACTGATTTGGAGCCCCTAAAAATAAACATTAATAGAAATTAATTAGAAATTTGAATAGATATAATTACAAATAAATTACCTTGGAAATAGAGAGTTCACAATGCTCTGTAAACGCGAATGTGTTGCCGAATTCGATTCACATTTAATGCGAATCATATAGACCCAAAGTAAACGATACAATGATTCTAAAGCGACTCGACTCATTTTTTGGTCACGATTTTTCAAATTGCTCAGGCACATGGCAAGAAAACAATGCCAATTGCTTAAAAAGAATGTTTTCTGTGAGACACACAGTAGACATGTGACCAATGGAAATAAGGCCAATTTGTGTTTGGACTTTGTGCAAGCGTCCAATGTTTGTGAATATAGTAAATCGACAAAATTTTTCACGCACGGTACATTCACTTCATTTTTAACAGCAGCCGCAACCGGAACCAAAATTTCCACAAACAAACCGGCCAATGCATGTTTGATATCTTTGTCTTTTACTTCAAGAAAATATTGTGCACATTCGTGCATAAATTGAAATGATGCTTCAAACTCTTCGATGGGCACCATTTTAACGCGAAAAAATTTCATGCCCATCAATAAACTGATGATACTTTGTGTTGTATGTGGACTTGGCTCTTTCGTCCTTAATTCTTTTAATTCGGCCATAAAACGTTTTCGCACTGAACCAAATCGACTTTGTGCCAATACGGCAATCACTTCTGCATTGAGATCGGCAATCATATGGATATTGTGTGCATTTGGATTATTTTGTAAACCATCACGATATTTAAAATGTTTGAATGCTAGATTTTCAAAACTTTTAACAATATCCTCGTGGCCAGGATGAAATGGTAATTGACGCAATATTTCAATCAATACCAAACAAAATATAAATTCAACGGCTGTTTCACGTCGCTGCAATTGCAATTCCATGTCAACATTTGGTTTGTTGGCAATTTTTTCCATACGTTTTAAATCACTTTTAATTTCAGCATCGGACAATTGACGATTGTGCCATGCCAGTAATGTGACCAACAATGATGGCAAACAATGTTCGGCAACTGAACCGAATGCCGATAATAATTGATCAAATTGTAAATCTTCACCGCGTTGAAGCAATTTGGCCAAATTTTTATCGGACAATTCCAACATAACCAATTCGATTTTCTTTTCGGCTTGTTGAGTGAATTCAGCGAACAATATTCGCATCACTATTTCACCGGGTCGCAATGTTGTGTCACTTGTCTGTTGCATATCAATAATGCCAGATGTGGCCGCTATACATGATCTACAAGTGGAACCCCAAGGCAACAGGGCCTGACGATTTGACGAATTTGATAATTTGCTTGCATCCAAATCTATTTAAAAAAAATGTTTTGCATAAAAACAATAACAATTAACAAAGATAATGAATAATCAATGGACATACCCAAATTAATGACGGTTTGATTATCTGCACAAACATCGGCTGCAGTGGTAGCGCTGGATGAGCTGTGACCCAGCGGTGATGCGCTCCCTTCGGAAACACACTTTGGATTCGCATTCGAATTTTGTTCGGATGTTGGTCTCGATGAGGATAGCCGTGATTGATTCCCAGAATTCCGTAAAGCTGGTGATGTATCGCTTGAGCTAGCCTTTATTTTTTTCGAATATAAATCAAAACGAAGAAAAAAATAAATTAAAATATTTAAAAAAAAGCCATTTGTTATTCATATCATTTTTTTTTTGAAAATAGATTTTTGTGTATTATTTACCGAACGCTTGACAAGCCACTGTATCACAGGGAAAATATTAATAAAATCTAATCCTTGGATTTGATGAGGTTCTATTAAATATGGGCACTTCATTTTCGGTAAAGCAGCAACGATTTTCTCCGTTAATGTGCTGTAGGAATCGATAAAATACAATTAAACATTAATAAGGTGTGAAAGTCATTTTTTTCAAGCGACAAATGTGTCTTCTTTTTTCCTAGTGCATTCCATTTTCAATTACATTTTTTGACCGATGGTGAGATTTTCGTGGAATAATAAATCGACATCAACATTATAATCACATGCACTGATGCACCATGTCATTCCGCCCACAATTTTATCGAAAGCAGATAATCCTTTGATTCTCGCCCGAAAATAACCAGCAGCGACTAGAATATCGAATATATCTTGTTGTTTTGCATTTTGCTCTTCGTCTTCACGTTGTTCCACCTAAAATCAACATTTTCATGATAATTAATCGTCATTTCTATCTCTCTCTCTTTTTTTTTGTGACAAAATCAAAAGTGTTTGATAGCATCTGACAGTAATCACTGAAAAGAAAACGATTCGCATATTCTCTTGCTTCTAAATGTAAGAGAAATACTATTGCCCATTCTTTTACAAATGCTATTGACATGTTTACCTGAACTTCTTTGCCATCAGCATCGAAGCGTGTTGCCAATTCTATGTTGGGCAAGACTTTTGAAAAACAATCTCTGTCACTCATTGTTCCATTGATTTTCAAAACAAAAAAAAAATTATTTATGCTCTCATGAAAGTAAACTAATAATAATGTCATGTATATTTGACACTTTGAAGCCTTATAAATAAAAAACCATTGTGGCGAAATGATTGGTGACTTTTTCAATTTCGCTGCGTTCAATTAATTCATGTTTCAATATGTACCATCGTCCGCCCGATGGCGCTGTAATGTCAATTCGTATATGATAGCATATTGGCAAAGAATATTTAAAAAAAAATCCAATTGGTTTATATTTTTTTAACATGAAAAGTGTGTCTGTTTATTTTAGTTTCATAACATTCGCTTCTTTTTTTTTTCTTTTTAAACATTGACAAGATGAACGATGATTATTATCAATAAATCGATAATAATTTTTATGACAAGAGGTAACAGTAAATAGTTAACATTATCATCATCATTTATATATGGGAAAGGCCCAACCTTTCAGATTGTGCACGTGAGTGACTGTGGGCGAGGTTGTGCTCCATTCATACCATACTTTGCGATTTGATATGCATCGCCAGAAGTTAAGTTTGATCCTATCGCCGGCACGCAATTGTTGTGGTTCGGTCAACGGGAAGTACAATGAAAACCATGATATGAGCCCTCGTGTATGCTCTTCAGGGTGAATACTCAATTTGATGTCTTTGTATAAAATGGTTTCAAAGTATCCAGCAAAACCGGTCAACACACAATCGTGTGCAACATCAAATTCCATTTTAATGAAACGTGAATTATCAATCACCTCATCGTTGTTCGGATGAACAAATGTAAACACTGGCTGCGGTTTGGTGATGTGATACACATTTTTCAAATATACAACGTACGGACTTTCTGCTTGTTTTTCATATGTATTCGGTTTGCCGCGACGCATATGACCACGAACTTCGCGTATTATGCTACACAATTTCGGTGCCATCACTGGATTTATGTATGAAGTTGATTGACATGGAATGCTTATGCCATCTTCTTTTAAATGCTTCTGAGCTCCATCCAAACATTCTGGCGACAGTTCATTATCACCTAATACGATGCGAAAATAGATGTTAATTCGTTAACATTTTAAATAAAAACTAAATAGTTATTTATTCACCGAACGATCCGAGCAATTCCGATACCAGAATATCAACCTTCTCTGATGGCTCAAAATATCTCATATCAGTCGAAATGATGGTCATGTCTGCATGGAGATGTAAATCAAATACATTTAAATAATAAATAATTTATTTGTGTCTACCTTTGTTTTTCCATAATTCCTCTTGTAGCGCGGTCAGTGTAACAATTGCATTTGGATTCTTTTCAATGACATACATTTTGATCTTTCGATTCACATTGGCTGATGCATTGAATGCAGAACGAACCAGTGGTCCACGACCAGCACCAACCACCATCACAATTGCCTGACATTCGAGATAAATGATGATATTAAAATGAAGCATAATCAATGATTGTTGATTGATTTACCGTTTTTATGTCTGCTTCTTCGTCCGAGATTTTATCCATGAATGCCAGTTCGATAGCTCTTTGTTCTCTCAAATTATCGTATAATGGTTGCAATGGAATCTCTAATAGGTCATCATAGCTACGAACAAATTTCAATTCAATAATTAGCATATTATAATCACATTTAATATATATGGATCGCTTACCCAGTCATTGGATCATTTGGTGTTCTTTCATCGAATGGTTAAATCTTATTCACATTGAATTGTTTAAAAAAAAGATCGGATTTTGTAAGTTATTCACATGGCTGTCTAATTCGTGTTCCGTTCTGTCTGTCTGGTTGGTGGTGGCATTTACGATTGAAAGTTTTGTTGCTGTCATGTATCCATTGAGACGGCAATACACACAGACGGTGCGACGTGCCCGATTCATTGTTTGCATTTTAATGATTTTTAATGAGTTCAGCTTGGCACCGCTACTGATATTTACCACCACAGCTCCTGAACACACTTTATGTGTTCCTGATCAAAAGTACGTTGTAAGTATAAGATTGAAATCAAATTCTTTATTTTTCTCGGAATGTAAATTTAACAAAATTAATGCTAAAACAATACATACCCTATTCGATGTAAATGATTGATGGAAAACATTAAAATTTATAAAAACCACAGGAATGTGAACAATGTTGATAGGATTTATTAAAATAAGTTGGAAATCTTTTTCATTATTATTCATTAGGCATGAACTTTTGTTTTCTATTCCGGCATAATATGCTTTTCCTTCTCCCATTCCAACGTACAGCACACACATACTGTTTATCAGAAGAAGAGGAGAGAAGAAAAACACACGCAATAAGCCCAATTTCAGTTTGGCCGCGGTATTCTATGAACCGACCTTTCATAATTCAAAAATTGGGATGTATAGTCGAATGTCCGCACATGTGAAAGTCGAAACTTGGGACTAGGTTTAAATAATTGTACCAAAAATGTACTTAATTGTACCGCAATTTATTTTCAATTGTACCTTACTCGTTTGGATAATATTTGGAGCCCACATTTCGGGCTAACTCAATATTGTGATAGAATGACGAAAAAAACTTAAAGATATTTTTTTAATTTTTATGGCTGATAATAATTGTATATACCTAGAATGTACCTTACTTCCTGAAAGTTTCAAGACGATCGGATAGAAAATATGTATAACTCCCATACAAAAGTTTCAATATCTGGACTAAAATAATTTTTCAAAAAAGTGTGAATTTTGTTAAAATGAAAACTTTTAGTTATGGTCGGAATTTCTTGAAATTTGGCATGCCTTTTTGCCGATAGAAAATAACTTCCTGAAATTTTCAAGACGATCGGAAAAAAATAAGTATGGCTCCCATACAAAAGTTTCAATATTTGGAGTAAAAATTTTTTTTTTTTTTCGAAAAATGTGTGAATATTTTAGCAAGGTACAATTAAATTCAGTGAGTACAATTCGATCTAATTCTAAATCTGAGTACAATTCGAATTGTACCTCACTGAATCTAATTTGCTGTCACAACGAAAATCGCATTGGTCTTCATTTTTTTGTTAATAATTTCGCTGCTCTTGAGTTTCAATTTGTTTGATTCTGTTCAGTGATTGTTGTTCGGTTAATTAGAAATCTGGAATCATTCGATTGACATAAAATAACAACGTAAGAAATCCGAATTTCCTCACCAATTGTGTCAATCGTTCGATCAACGTAGTGAATTTGTTTATTGTATTTTTTGGTGAATGTTGCTTCATTGTTTCACACAAAAATGTAAGAATATATATATGAAATTTTTGTCCAATGGTCATTTAAATGTTTGATAATTTGCAGCAGGCACACATCAGATTGATGATTCAGATGTTGATGAACAGTATGATGAACGGGAAAAAGGAGATTTGACACTTGTAAGTTCAAATGATTCCAGCGCCACAGAAAATGTCGATGAACCAACGGAACCTGTGGACCTCATCAATCCAAAACCCGAGCCCATTTCAGGTTAACACATAAAATTATTTAGCAATATTCGTATATAGTAAACACAACCAACGAACAGTACCATTTTGATTTGTCATATTGTTTACACTTTAGCTCGCACCAGATCGACTCGTCGGCCAAACAATGTTTCTTACTGTGAAGATGGACCAAGCACGTCACACGGCATTTCGAACACAGATCAATCGTCATCGTATCGCAGTGAATTTCCGAAATCAACGGCCAAACCAAAACTTAAGGTGGAACCATCGCGAATTCCGAAAAACGACGACAAAAAAGTGTTTTGCAGCAACTATTTGTATAAATCGTTCTGTTTCTTGTGCGGATCCAGCGATAAACATTTGGCAGTTCATTATGCCCGAAAACATCAAGATACTGAAGTGTTCATTTCACGCGTATCGCCTGCAATGGCCGCCCGAATTCGTAAGCAAGACGAAGAATTCGTACAAATCGATGACCAAATTCACGGTTTATGTTTCTTCTGTGAAGAATTGATGTCAATGCAAAAAGATTCATGGATGAAGCATTTACTTATTCATACCGGAGAACAAAACCTATTCTATCCAACCCGTTCTGGTTGCAAAAAATTTCAAAAAACCAAAACCAAACACGACAATTGTTCAAAAGAAAAAGTTACAAGCATTTTCGACATCAATTCATCTGCTGGTGATCTGTGTGGTTTCATATGCAACACGTGCAATTATCTGCAAATTCAAAGCGACAATTTGGACAACCATATTTGCAACGAGCACGAATCATACGATGAAAATATTACCGAAGAATTATACTCGAAAGTTATTTTGGTAAAGGTGCCAGCCCTTTAATTAGAGTTTAACAATGTCTCCGAATTCTTCTTGTAATTTAATAGACTAGATAGCTTCTAATTGCAATATAAGATTTAAATGTCGAAGATAAACTATAAGAAAATGTTATAAATTGAATAAAAAGTTTAATTTTTCCCAAAATTGCATTCGTTTTTCATTCCGATTTTAACCGCAAATTTGCATCTAACAAATATTAGTATCGAATGGCACTGTAAACGTTTGTGCAGACTGACATTAAGACGCCATTTCGTTGATGAGGTCGTTAATAAATGTGTGACATGGACACGAGTTTAAAAAAAATGATCAAAAGAAAACACAAGTATACGTATATTTGTTTGATATTTTATTGCTAGCTTTCCATTCAATTATCCTTACCCAAAAATGTACTCTTACTATGCTAGAAATGATAAATATGTTCTATTTTTGTTCATTGTTTATTTTAAATCGTTTGTATCATCTAATTATCGCATTTGATTTCGCTTGTTTTTTTGTGTTCCATAGTTGTATGTTTGAAATAAATGTATTCATTACACGTTCAAATAGGGGGAGGGTATGTAATTAAATCTTGATCTATGTAGTATAGAGAAAAGAATATCGCATTGCCGCCGTACAGTTTTCACTCCATTCAAATCAAGCTATTTCTGATGTGAACGTGTATGTTGTGGGTTTCATGATTTTTCTTGACAATTACTATGAATGTAAAGCTATGATATGATATTGGTTTATTTCTTGAATGTTCATTTCTTTATGGTTGTTTTGTAATCAAAACTTCATAAATTTTCATAATATTTTTGTCTTTACAACAGAATCAGTTTGAAGTTGGATTTTCTTTAGATAATTTTAATTAATTTGATGTGAATTTATTTCGGTGACATTTTCTCTTCATTTCATTTTTGGAGAATAGCAATACAATGTTTTCACTTAACTACTAAACTGAACATTCAAATCCATTCTCTTCACTTGATTAGGTAATTTTATCATGATCATTATTTTCATTTCATTCCAATATTTATGTATAGTATATTATATTTTGTCTTTCAATTTTGATTTTATTTGATATTCATTTTTGATAGATTTTCTCACATTGATGATACGGAAAATGCTTCACAAATGGCAAATTCACAAAACGTTTTTTCAAGGAATCATATTGATATAATTGATTCTCTCGAATGAACATTTCTTTCTTGATCGAATGACCATTTTCGATTAAATAAAGTTCTGGTTTGGCTATCTGAATTGGTTTTCTTTGTATTTAGCAACTGGTTAAATTTAAGATAAATGGAAACTCACGCACCTTCAACACATGCCGTTTTGAATTTGCTACGCATTGCTTGACTGATGGCAAATAGTCATCTGGATTCTCATTTGGATCGAGTGTTTTGAATTGCAAGAATAAACGTTGTTCTTCGTGATTGTATGTGCTTGGTTAGTATTTCATACAAATACTAAATGGCCTTCGATTCGGACGTGAATCCATGGTCGGTACGACAACAATCTTGCAACATTTTCACATCCCAACGATGATAGTTGTTAAAATTTGAGCCGCACAGCACCTTTTCGATTTCTTCGGGATAGAAGAGACGCAATCGTTGTGATTGGATCACCGAATCAAATCCTATTTAATAATGAAAAAAATCCACAGCATTAAATAATGAACGGTGAGATTAATAAAATTGTTTATCATTTTTACCTTCACGGAGTGCTTCAAATTGTGTTTGTACACCTTCGACGGAGTTCAATGGTTGCATGACCCGGAAGTGTGAAATTCAAGCCCAAATCGGCAATTGGACAGCCATCATAATGTAAACTTTCAATCTGTTATTTGAAAAAAAAAGAAGAAGAAACAAAAAACAATGTTACAACGGTCCGTGTACGAAGGAATGCATGCGTTCACGTACAATATTCTGCAAACGTTTCAATGAGACTTGAACTTCTGGTGCCACCGATGATAAATCACCCAGTCCAAGGGAACTGTCTTCATATAACAACTATCGATAGAATGGGATTAAAGAGAACATGGTTAGTTTGAGTATGCAAATTTTTATTGTGGACGAGCTAAATTGTAACATACCATTCGACTATCCATGATTAAATCAGCCATAAATTTGCCCAAGAACTTGAATTTTGATTTGATGCGTGAGATTTGTATTTGTTTGGCACTATGACTGATTGGCATTGGGAAGAGACCGAATTGGGCGTGAACGTATCGTCGAACATTCACCGCTGAAGTTTGATAATTTGATATCGGATTCAGTGCATTGTTAACCTCATCTAAATTGGTGCAAACAAGGAAAATATTTTACTATAAAATTAAATTTACCTTGTTCATCTGTTTGTGACATTTATTGATCGTCTTCCATTTCATAACTGTGAAAAAGAGTATGAAACTCACTTTGAGGGGCCTGGCTGAATTCCAGGATAGTTTTCCAAAAGATTGGTCAATCTGTCGACCTTTTGTGACAGTCCCAACAAATCCGTTCTCAACGCCGACACTTCTTTCTTCAATGAATCAAATTCCTGTCGTGTCACGAAACCAGTTGGACTTCTGGATCGTTCCCGACGAAGTGATCCAGAAATTTCAAGATTACGATCAGCGAAAAAATCTGTTACTGATTCAATACTCTGAAGTCTGTGTTAAGGAGATGAAATTGGAACTCGACGACGGCTGTGTTCACCTCTATCCTCTCCTTCCATATTAAATAAATATAAAACAAACCTCCTTTCGGACTATATAGAGATAAACTCTTTTACAAATGAAAAATGCTGTTGAACTCAATATATTTTTTTTAAACAACAACCCAACACAATATTATTGCAGTGTGTGAATGGAAAAAATGTTAATCTCAATGTTGCAATTTTAGCTTCACATTCATCAAAAATGATCAGATTTTAGACACTTCAAAATGTTCAGAATAACAATATTGCACAGTTATATTTGTCTCCTATTTCTCTTCTTTGTGTTTCGAAGAAGCAAGAAAAAAGGGCACACATACACTGCGACTATAAAAAGTCTTCGTTCACTATTGATATGCCGTATTCTGCGCCTTACATACACGATAATGCATGCACACAAATGCAAACCGTATAAAACCAATGTGCAACAGCTATTGAATTCTCTGTCGCGCAAAAGGAAAATTATCAATCTCTGTTGGTTTGTTTGTCTGCTTCGTTGGTCGAATAGATGGGTCTTTTTTACATGACTTTTTTTCACTCGTGCATTTTTTCAGCATTGTTGCACATTTAATGCACGGTTCGTGTACTTACTTTTCTGACGATTAAAGTTATCATTTGAAATTTGATTTGGAAAGCGTACTAAATGTGTTTTTTTTTTCATGCTTTCTAATTTTAAGCCATGAAATCTCACAATTGAGATGAGCTCTTTATGCAATTCGAACACCAGAGTGCTAAGAAACAGCAATCATTTTTATTTTTCATCGACAAACTGAATTCAGTGCGAGTTATTTTGAACTTTTATGAATTGTTCATTTTGTCTATTGAATTTCAATAATTTTCTTTTTATCGTACACACAAAAAATAAACCTGACAAATCATTTTAGGATTCCTATTCCTATCTTAATCGATTAATTTGTAAGGTTTCCTTCTAATATGGCAACATTTTATTAGGAAACCTTTAAATAATAAAACATATTTTGTTTCAACACAGTGAGGTTGGATTTGACGTTTAAGCGCGCAAATTTATTAGGATTCCTGTTAAAATATTGCGATTTTATAAGGAAACCTAACAAATTCATTTTTTAATAGGAATTCTAAAATAATTTGTAGGGTTTATCTCTTGTGTGTATGAAATGTATGAAACTAACAAAATTAATGGCGGCCGAACGAAAAAAAATTAGTACAAAATAAACTTACTTTGAATCCGTCAGTGGTTTTGAACTTGAAATTGTATGTTTTTCAGGGAATTTATTGATGCGCAGAAAACGAATTTACCTCGAGTTCGACTTTTTTCACTATGATGAAAACAGAAAAAAAATATTTTATATTTGAACTTTTATGAATGTTCATTTTGTCTATTGAATTTCAATAATTTTCTTTTTATTTATGAAATATGTGAACCTAACAAAAAAAATTCGAACAAAATTTACTTACATTGAATCCGTGCGCTAAAACGCTACTAAACTTTGATGCAAAGTAAAACAAAAACAACTTTCGATCATAAACTCGTAACGCGATATTATTACGCTGTGCGTACAAAAAAAAATGCCAATCTCAATATACAGTGTGCGTGTATTGTATACGAACTATAGTTCGTATAATTGATGCTGTTGATTGCCAAATGTATTTATTTTGTAATTATGAAATAGAAAATTGTATACCAAATGAATGATACACACACACGCCCAGACGTATGCTGGTAAAAGTGGTACAACTATCATGAAAATATTCAAAATCCTCTTGCCATTTTTCATATTGAAAATGGTATGCGATGAGTGGTCGTATTATAAAGTATATTGACTTATCTCTCAAATCTGTTTATATTTCGCTTCAATTGGTTTTTTTAAATCAAATTTCATCAATTATTACTTGTTTATCACAAAATGTTATATTGCGTTATATTCATGACATATTGTGAGCAAAATTGTGCTCGGTAAAATGTGTGTTTTGCTGAAAATCGAATATTACTCATCGAATAAAGTGATGCGAGCAACATATTTATATCAGTTAGCAAATGTGTGAGGTATGTAGTGAACTACGTACAATCCCAAATGCTCGCACCACATCGAATAAACAAAAATAGAGACCAACGCATTGAATAAATATACTTCATTTGTCGAGTGATCTCTGACATTTCATTTGAAATAATTGGAATATTATATTCAAGATGTTAAGTATTCTTCAAATATATATCAGAACAATAAGCATACATTTTTCTTTCGTTTATATTAAGAGGTAAGAAGGGGATATAGGAACGAATACAAGGTGGAGCTGTAAATGTGTGCAAATATTTACGCTCGACCGACTACATCAATAAATCATAACGGGTTGACATTAATGATTATACCGGCAAAATATAGCACTATAGACAGTACGCTATGAAACGTGCATGGGTTTTTCGCAATTATTTTATCCATACAGACGCTAAAAGAATTTACATCGAATAATTCGTTTTATTATTTTCGCTGAATTTCGCACGAAAACTTTATTGAACACTTGATTTTCTTTGTTATTTGTTTCTTGTTATAACGTTTTTTTTTTGTCTGAGAAAATGTTCCCTTTTTTTCATTTGGTGTCTCAACTTGATCGGAATTTTTGAGTCAAATTAATGCTTATTTGTGGCGAAAATGAGCTATGGCCAAATCATTTAATCAAGAAACAAATTCTTCGGACATCAATAAAATTACTTGAGAAATATCCAAAGGGTTAAAGGATCTCATTGATATACCAAATAATATTTTGTTGCATGTGTAATGTGTATTATGTTCTGTGTATGTGTGTGTGTGAGCAAGTTCGGACGGCATTGCTGGCAATCGACCCAAACGCCATTCCAATATATCACTTATTATTTATTACAGAATTTATGATGATTAACTCGATTACGCTATATCTACTTTCCATCAATCCATAATCGAGCCACGACATGATTAATCTTATCACACAATCGTCGATCGAACGAAATACAGTAGTCGAATTAATTCGCTTAATAAAAAAAAGTGCTACTTAGAATAGACAGAAGGCCGCAGCGGACGCAACATATACTTAACTCAACTAATATATCCAACGGGAGCAAGAGAAGACAAGGGAAAAAAATGCAAGAGAAGGACGGGGGTTGGAGAGAACGACAGATATACAAGAACACAACAAACGCGCAATGATAATTCCATTAACGTTCACTGATTAACCGTATTTTTTTTTGATTGGCAGCCCAAGGAATGAGATGTAAAGCAGTTATATGTTATATATGTATATGTTATAGAAAAAACGATAGCTGTAACCAAAATAATTGATGGCCTATATAATATTTGGAAAAAAACCTACACCCTTTTACCGTGCTTTACCGATATATAACTGAACGAAGAAATGTATATGATAGCAGGTAAATTATCGAACTATTCCAATTTGGAAAGGATTCTATGATTTAATGTTTTTATCTGCATTCACAAGGTCAGAAATACAAATGGTTTTTGTACATTGTTTACTAAACAGTCATTGACTAAAACATTTCAATTCTGAACTTAATAAACATTAATCACATTTTACAATAACTTTAGAACCTATAATATAAATTCAATTTTCCGACACAAACGTCAAGGGACCTGATTTTCTTTGATGATTTTGATCAATCGAATTTCGAATCGAGTTTTGTCGAAAGCGAAATCCATGTGACATCTGAAGTATGAGCGATATTTCTAGCGAAACTACTTTTTTGCACTTGTCTGCCGTTAAAATAGATCAATCTTTCAAATCAGATGTATCGAAATGAGCACGTATTTTGAGCGGATGGTTTTTCTTGAAATTCATTCTTCATACTTTCTTATTTTTGACCGTAAATAATTGCCTGCCGCATTTCATTTATTATTTTGCTTTCTGGAATATAGGAAAAAAAATGAACGTGAAGGAAAAGAAAAATGATAAAAGTGTGCGAGAAAGGAGAAAGAGAATCGATGGCCTAAACGGCTATCGTTCATACATTTAACACTCAATTCATCATTGTCTGCCAAAGTGTGTAAAATGGAAACTTTTCCGTTCTCTTTATTAGGCCTTTAAGTCAACTATAATTACGACATATTCATTCTTCTATGCATATTTATATTTCAATTTGACCGGTATGATTATTTGAGGTGAATGTCTTTGGCAACTATCTCGCAATTGTCCGATTTATATTCTTTATACACCATTTCAGCTCTCAATTTGTTTACATTGTACATGTGTACACTGGAAGAATATTATAAAGATTAGCAATTTTTTGAAGGAAAAAACAACTACACTTTAAATTAAAACTTGTTTTTTACACTTTAAATATAATATATAAAATATACCTACTTTTTTGCCAACATTTTTGCAATCTGGTGAATTGGATCAGATGAGCTGTCAACAAACGGCCTGTATGACAAATTGTAAGCATAGCTTGCAGCCAGTAATTGAATTACAGAGTCAAGCGCACACGTATTTTGCAATTTAACGCTCACACCATCAACTTTATATGTAGTTTTAGATAGATTTCCATTTGAAATATGTCCAATTTTTACTTTTTTGTGCATATCAATTAAACTGAAATTTGGCATGGGTTGGCAATATTTACTACTTTTGGTGCTCTTTTTTTTGCTCCATACATCTCTTGAATCCAATTCTTTTGTTGATTGACTTGGTGGTGATTCATTCATGTTTTTTGGTGTATTACGGGTTGATTGTTGGGATTGTGTCAAATTTTCATTATCGTGGCATGCCATACATTTACGCGCTTGTCCATAGCCTTCTTCATTACCAACTGAAACAGAGCAACCTTCAAATATATGAACAGATTTATTGCAAATGATGCATTTGTGTGCTCCTTGTGGCATATCACCATTTTTACATGCAATACATTTGATTGGACTGATCATGGCAGAATTTTTTTGGCATGTAGTGTTGGTATCACATTTATTTGCTTGGCTAACATTTTCGACATTAGATTCATTATCATTTAGCAATGAACATGTATTTTCAATAGCTCCGGTGAATTCTTCGTCGCTGAATGAATTTTCTCGTTCTTTTGATATTGTTTTTCTTTGTTTGTTAACACCATATTTTTGTGACGCCAAAATTACACCTGCATCTGTGAGTGTTAGATCGCGACCTTCACCTGATTATTTGTCTTATGTTTAAATTCTAGCCAAATGGACAAATGTGACAGTCCTGGTGTCAGCATAAAATTTACTACCACTTTTCTTTCTTTAAATTTTATTAAACACCATTTCATATTAGATTGTCGTTTATTTTGAACGAAATTTGTGATCATTTTAGTTCTATTCAAACCCATTATTATGATATCTTCTCTATCGTATATTTAAATTAATGTTAGAATTGGCACAAAAAAAAACTATCGATTTCGGTCCGCATTGTGTTTGTTACTTGGAATAAGATACTATATTTTTCGTATTGGAGATGAAGGGTTTCGATTGATCATGGAAACAATGGAATATTTATCAAAGAATTGGCCACCATTTTGTCGACTTTTTGTCGTGACATTTTTTTAAATAAACTTAATACTAAACATTGTATATACAGTTCATTCTCGGCGATTAATATAGAATGGTTTCGTTGTTTACCGGTCATTTTAGCTTGTCTTAAATTACTGAATTACAAAGTTAATTTAATTAAATTTAGAGAATAAATTAAAGTTTAACTACCATTTACAAATCCTTAGATCCTATAAAAATACCATAACCATGGTCAATTAGTATCATTCGATAAGTCTATCCATGACCAAAGTGACACCATAAAACGGCGATTGTAGTTTTATATTTCTTTTGGTTTCATTAAAATAAACTGTTTGCATAACATCAATCCTAACAAATATATAACTTATATTTTAACGCGAATACGCACATAAAACAAAGTTCCTTTGTTTTCGTTGTACATCTAAATTCCCGTTCAGCTGCCATAACCTTGTTTGCGAAGCACATAAATTTACCTGTTGCAATATGAATCAGAAAAATCTTATTCGTCTGTGTTACGCGGTTTGTACTTCGTACGCTTGAAAATGTTTTATCTTCCGTTATCCATATATGGATTGCTTTATACAGTAACGTGGAAATCGTATAAGCATTAAATAATTAGATTGTTCATCAACTAAACGAGTATTATGACAATGATTTAACCTGAAAAACACGAATAAAAATATGTTCACATTGTCAAATAAATGTCAGATAGCACAAAATTAGTTTTTTGTTCTTCTGATACACACAAAATACGTTTCTGCTTCAAGTAGCCATCATACTGGGTGAAAATCTTTTGAAGTAAGAGTAAAAAGAAAACAAGTTATAACTGGAAAAAAAGAAACTTTACGGTCTTTGCTTATATCTTAGTTACACGTGCCTGCTACCGAATATTACAGCTACTTGAACCAGAAAAGTCTTTTGTTTGTATCAATTGTTAGATTTTTAGTAATGGAACTTCATTAAAAACTTCTTAACCGTGTTGATATGGTGATTCTTTTGAAGAAGACAAATTTTTGAACAAAAATCTAATTTAATGGTAACTTAACATTTTCGACTAACTTTTAGTTGATTGTATTTCATATAAAAAGTCCTCTCAGTTAATGAGTCGCTTATTAGCCAATTTCAGTTACAGTGATTAATGCATGTTATTATGACAGGGTTTGTTCGATTCTCATGTGTCTGAAACGATTAAAATGATTGGACACAATGAAATGCACATTTCTGATCTGTTGAACATATTGTTTGAAAGAAAGCACAAAAATGTGATCCATTTTCACAGAAATAATAATAATAGCACGTTAAATGAATAGCAACAAAATCGAAAATAGTCAGAGCATATACTAAGCATAGATATATATCCTGGATATTTTGTCAGT